CCATTTTTTGGATGACTTGAAAGATTATCTTCCATCTGAATATGGTGTAGAGTTTGAAGGTGTTTCTCTTAATCACTTAATCTGGGCAGATGACTTAATATTAATAGCTAACTCTACAACTGGTGCTCAATCAATGCTAGACTCTCTCTTTGATTTTTGTCGAAAATATCATCTTGTTGTCAACACTGTTAAAACAAAAGCTATTAGTTTTAACTCTAAATCAGAGGAAACTTTTAAATTCAATAACGAAGTGATTGAATGTGTTGAAGATTACAAATATATAGGGTGTATTTTTAACAGGAAAAGTAATTTTGATAAGCAAATAAGCTATCTTAAAGAAAAATCCAGAAAAGCTCTATTTAAAATAAAGCAACAACACCATAAGTTTAATGACATTCCTATATCCGTTGCATTACATTTATTTGATTCACTTGTCCAACCAATTCTGATGTATGGTTCAGAAATATGGACAAGTAAAAAACATATTAAGACAATTGAAACTATCCATCTTTCTTTTTTAAAAAACATTCTTGGTGTAAAAACATCAACTGCAACACTAGCAGTTTATGGGGAGCTGGGTCGGTTCCCTTTGAGTCTATGTTTTGATATTCAACTTATTAAATATTGGATAAGGCTTATAAAATTATGTCCAGACAACATCCTTTATAAATCATATCTTTATGATTATGAAATGCACAGTTTGGGTTTTAAAAATACATGGTCTAGTAAAGTTTATAACATTTTAAAAGATTGCAATCTTCTTCTTAACTGGAATGAACAAATTGTTGAAGATGATTTCACATTTATAAATGTTTTAACTAAGACATTGCACCAAAATTATAAGGACAAATGGAAGTGTGATTTACAATTATATCCAGTTCTGAGAACATATGTTAAATTTAAGACAACTTTTGAATTGGAGCAATATTTAAGCCTTCAGAACAAAAATCATAGGCAGACCTTTACCCGATTAAGGTTAAGTTCTCATAAACTTCAAATAGAGCTGGGTAGACATGTGAAACCACGGCCAAAACCTGAACATGAAAGAATGTGTAATGTTTGTGGAGAAATAGACAATGAAATTCATTTCATGATAAATTGCCAAATACATCAAGAAAATAGAAAAGTATTGTTCGAGAACATCAACAGCAAAATTAAATTTGATGAATGCCATCCTGAAAATGCATTCATAATGTTAATGTCCTCAAAAGATAAATATGTCCAAAAGCAAGTTGGCATTTTTATAAATAAAGCATTCAAGGTCATTGAACTTGTCTGAAGAACATTCTGGATGCATCACACTGCTTTAAGTATTATGTATAGTTCAATACATGTTAATAACATGTTTTTGTATATACTATATTTGTATAATAGTAGTGTAGTGTAGTGTAGTATAATGTAGTGTAGTATAGTTAGGTTTTATTTTGTAATGACTAATATGTCATACCATGACATTCTAAGAGTCAATAAAAGATATATATATATTAAAATGATGTTGTATAAATAAAAATGGATAACTCAGTGGTGAATATAATGGTAAATTCCTTGTTGGGTGTGATGTTCGGGTAGGCCAATATATGCCAAATTCATTAAAATGATCACCTAATCACGGGGTACCATCGAATAATTTTGGCAACGTACCGGAGAACGACATTTTACTAAGAAATGGCAATAATTTAGCACAATATATTTTTTAACTAGAGTTCTACTTTGATTTTGACAAAAGTAAGTATTCCATGCAATGGCTATTTCATTCATGAGTTTGTAGGAATTCTGTTGGAACCCAGTTCTGATCAAGTACGAAGTTATTGAAATCGGCGCAGACGGACTTTACTCCGAAAGATGGTTTTTCGATTATAACTTTTTACAACATTTAAGTATAGAATTTTGAAAAAAGTACAGAATAGTCCTTATACTATTGAATAATTCTGTTATTTCTGATTCACACGACTCTGATTTGTTTAATTAAAAAAAAGTTTTAAAAATATTACTTAGGAACGTAACCGGAGCAGATCAGTTGAATTATATAATTTAAAAAAATAAAATATATGATTTAAAGCATATATTTTAATAAATACGCATTCAAACAATCCTGTATGTTTTTAAATTAGTATATGTGCTTTAAATCATATATTTTAATTTTTTTGATTAAATAATTCAACTGATCTGCTCCGGTTACGTTCCCAGCTCCGGTTACGTTCCTTAGTAATATTTTTAAAAATTTTTTTTTAATTAAACAAATCAGAGTCGTGTGAATCAGATATAACAGAATTATTCAAAAGTATAAGGACTATTCTGTACTTTTTTCAAAAGTCTATACTTAAATGTTGTGAAAAGTTATAATCGAAAAACCATCTTTCGGAGTAAAGTCCGTCTGCGCCGATTTCAATAACTTCGTACTTGATCAGAACTGGGTTCCAACAGAATTCCTACAAACTCATGAATGAAATAGTTATTGCATGGAATACTTACTTTTGTCAAAATCAAAATAGAACTCTAGTTAAAAAATATATTGTGCTAAATTATTGCCATTTCTTAGTAAAATGTCGTTCTCCGGTACGTTGCCAAAATTATTCGATGGTACCCCGTGCTAATGTATAAATGAAAATTGTATTTCTAAAGTACTTCGAGTAGAAAACTGCATACAGAATTCAAATATGTTATCAAAGAGAACAATTTGGTCATCAATGGTTAAACATTCAAAAATATCATTAAATAATTAGACTCAACAAGATTTCAAAGCTACATTGCAAAACCTCTATTACTGATCATGACTGCCAACAATTACCTTGTTTATGGCTGTTATATGTTACATAAATTGTCAATATTAATTATATTATATTATATAAGGGCTATTGTACTGGGAGGTTTTGGATATGGGGTTTATCCAGGAGTAGATGTGCATATCTCACGAGGGATAAACCCCATATTCAAACCCACTGTACATAACTGCTTTATCCTTTACCCAGTTTTCTCATTTTTTCAATTTTTATTTTTGTCAATTTTTTTCATTTTTTTCAAAAATTTTTATTCAAATTTGTGGGAAGATATGCCCTGAAGCAGGAGATGTGGAGGTTCTTGATTTTGAAACCTAAAAATCAGGATATGGGATATATCTTACCCTCTTATCTCCCTAAAACTCTACTGGGCATAAATTATATTATATTATATAATATTATATATTGTATTATATCATAGAGAAGGTTCTAGAAGAAATAAAAGCTCTGCCAATTTTCAAATTGACCCATGGCTTCAAAATTATCCAGTAGAGCTTATTGTAGTGTAATTATAGTTCATATATCACTTTTATTGATATATTGTATCATTTCATGATTACATAAGTAATAACTAGTCACTGAAAGACTAAAATGACATCTACAGGGGAATATGCATGTGCTACATTTCATATGCATATTAAAAGCACAAGGGAGGCAAAATATTTTAAGGTGTGATATACAGAGTATGCTGACTTTTTCTTAATTGTTAAATGAGTGACAAATACCAAAATGATATTATTATAGTATGATATTATCACTTGAAGTTATACTTATTTGGAAAATAAATCATCACTCAAATCAGAACAAATTAACTGTATGTTGATGTTTATGATGTTGATAATAAGAACTGGAGTGATTTCGTAGATATTTTTTATTGGAAGCATGTCATATTGTCTAAATGACAATTTGTGGCATTTGTCCAAAAGGGCAGTACCATAGCTGATCCATTGAATGAAGCCTCTACCAAAAAAATGAAGTCATTTGCTTAAATGTTCAAGAAATTACATTTGATACCCTGTATATTCAAAATGTTCAGTTTGCTCATGTTAAGAAAGCATTGGTATGAAGCATAATGTTTGATTTTAAAGGAAGGAGAACAATTAATGCATACATTGGTGTGTCATCTACTGTGAATAACCCGTCAAATCCATTAACTGCATCAAGGCTATATTGGACAATATGTGTCCCTACAATAACATATGGAATGGAACTATTACCCTTAAGAGAGTCTGATTTAAAGTGTATTGAAAATGGTCATAGAGGTATTGCTAGGAAAATTCAAGGGATTCCAAAACATGCAAGTAACGCAGCATCAACATCTATGTTGGGCTGGCACTCCCTTACCTCCAAAATAGTCATCAATAAACTAATGCTCTTATGGCAACTAATATCTCTGCCATTTTCAAGCATCTTTAAAAGGGTAGCTGTATTACGTATTATCCATGCATCCTATGAGAGCCTAAATAGCTTCTCACCAATAGGAAACTGCATCCAGATAGCAGAGGCATATAACCTTGAAAGCTATATATATAGAATGATGTCTCATGAATTTGAATTATCTAAAGTAAAATGGAAAAATATTGTTAAAAACAAAGTGCACCAAATTGAAATACGAAAATGGCAAATGGAATGCATACTTTCAAAAAAACTTTATATGTTTAGAATTGTATCCCCAATTTTTAAACCCATTATATGGTGGCATATTGCAAAATCAGACCCAAGAGTCTTAAAGTGTTGCAGAACTGTAATTAAATTGGTTATTGGTGAGGGAAATATTATGGTAAATGTTAACAAATGGACAAATGGTAGGACTTCGAATGTATGTAAAGTATGTAAGCTAGAACCTGAAACTCTGAGTCATATGATCCTTAGATGCCCTGGCCATTATGAGGAAAGGGATGCAATCCTAAGGATTCTTAAATCTGTTGTTAATACAACACAGGATATCCCTAATGATACCATTTTGGGCTGGATATTTGGAGCCTGTGATGTATTTAATATACAGCAGTATAAAGAAATATCTGTATATATTCATAAAATTTACATAAATAGACCAGACCCTTGGCCTGGCATCACATAATACCATATTGTATATATGTTTACCAATGTACATGTATCACTGTATATATGTTAATTTATCTATTATAAATTTTATATAAAAAATTAATGTATAACACATCAGAAATGGTGGATAAAATAAACAAATAAAAAAATAAAAAACATCTATTTCGTGCAAACAGCACAAGTTAATTCAAACCCATCTTGATAATTTGGACAAGGTAATGAGTAACCACATATAGATTCAGTCACATATAATCTTCCTCCATCCTTGTTCCTTCTTGCTATATCTGCCTCTGGTGCTTCATCCACACATATGAACTCAGCTTTCTGATTGTCGACATGTTCAGTCATTATATAGCCATTGTACTCCTTGGTCCAGGTGTCTGGACATGATTTATGGGCAGGAATCATAACCTGACTAGCCCGCTGTGGCACCCGACATACTGCGCATACTGCATCATGGTCATGTAGCCAAGAAGCTGGTTGAGCCGGAACAGGAAAATTGTCTGTAAGAAATGGGTTGTTGGCTTGCAAGTGATACTCAACTCCATGAATATGGGCATTTGATTGTCTACCAGACATGGTCTTTCCCCACTCAGGATCCCTAGGCAGGCATAGATAGTTGGCACCTCCACCTGTGCTAGCATGCCAGGTTTTACCCATAATACCTAGAAAATGAAACAAATAAGATTGTTTTCATTGTACTGTACATGCACTTGTATTTTCGTTTGTCACAATATTTTCACAATTTAACTTATTATGGACAAATGAGTATTATGTCACCACTAAAAAGTGGTGACATATTGTTATGGTCTCCATTTTTTGTGACGGCGGTTGGTGATCAGCTGTCGGCAGTTGGCGTCTGTAAAAGGGCCTTTTTCAACTTGCTTCAAATTGACCAATTTTTTTCAAAATTGACTTCAAGTTGTCAGAAATTCAAATCTGACTTAAGTTTGAACTCATAATATTGTGAGCAACTAGATGGTGACACTTTGTCATGTTAATGCCTTGTGCATACTAGTCCTTGCACTACTGTTAATACTGTTAACTTTATTGACATATTTATCCCAACGAATGAAGTTCGGTAGGGATATAGTGAAGCCCTCCGTCCGTCAGTCAGTCAGTCAGTCTGTCAGTCAGTCTGTCAGTCTGTCTGTCCATACGGAAGATAACTCAAATAATAGTAGACAGATTTTCTTCATATTTGGTGTATATTGGTGAATGGTTTTACGCAAAATAAAATTTTTCAAGATGGCCACCGCTTTAAAAATGACAGGACTTTTTCGCAAAAATCATAAATTTTTCATTCTAAACCAAAGTAATTTATATTATTGTTTGAAATGTTGGTAGTATATTCACAACATTTATATATTTCACATATATTCTGTGTTTTTCATCCTGACCCTCAGGGGCCGTGTATGGGGGGTCAGGAAAACAGAAATTTTCGCTAATCTTTAGATCTTTCTGAAGTATAGCTTTATTATACTCAAATGAAAGGCAATTAAGAGTAGATTGCAAATATTGTATCTATTTTCGAGCCTCGTAAAATTCAAAATGGTTGCTTTGCAGGAATTGGCAATTCTGAAATCTAATTTTTTCAATTTTAACCAAAGTAATGAGTATAATTGATTGGAATTCGGTAATTGATATTTTGTTCGTTGGTATTTGCTACTCCGAGGAGTTGCCGTTATCTAGTTCTATCAATATCTGTTTTGGTAGTGGGAGGTTGGATAGACATCCCATTAGTTCTTATCAATGCATTTTCATGCACTTTTGTAATTCTAATTAACTTTTTTTAATTTCACCTGAATAGACTTGTTCTACATTATCTGGACAGACAGTTCTCCCCCATCTCACATACATGGCACCTCCAGTGTGATTGCCTGAGCCAGAAGGACCAGTACCACTAGGCCCTGATGATCCTTGAGAACCATGTACACCAGAAGAGCCAGAACTATTACTGGAGCACTGCTCTTTTTGCTGCAATCCTATCAAATAGTTGATATCTTCAACTGATAGTCCTTGTGCACTTATCCCCTGGAAATATAAATGTACTCTACATCAATCATTTTTCAGAGATAACTTTTACTGGAGAAATAATGTTGGAATCGAATAATGCTGCAATTTGTAATAAATGTAAAAATGAAATCTAAGCTCACATCTCTTCCATCTTTTCCTGGACTTCCATCTCTACATGCTGGTCCAGATGGACCTTGTTGTCCAGGAGGTCCCTGTTGTCCCGGTGAACCTGGTAATCCAGGTGGACCTTGTTGCCCAGGCATGCCATCTCTTCCATCACGTCCATAGATACTGCCACCTTGAAAACAAGTACACTAAATGTCCATACCCCTGGTGTGTATTAGAGGCCTAAACAATGAGGAAACCTAATGGAACTCATCATTCTATTATTTGTTTTACTACTAATACATGTATTACCCGGGATCCATAACCTTAACAGCAGATGAATATTTTTCAGACATTCTAATCATTTTAAGAAAAAAATTATTTAGTATAAAATCTGTATTTTTCTCTTTGGATTTAAGTGGTAAAAGGTTATACTAACTTGCAGATGTACTGGCAGCTTGACGTTTACCACGATCTAAATTAATGAGGTCATCACGCTTTCCTTTTCTTTCATCAGTATAACGCCACTGCTTTATTAAGGCAAACAAGAAATATGTATGTAATATTTCAACTCAAACGAAGTTTATGGGACAGAGTATGTTCTAATATTAAAGGCTAATGCAAATGCAACACTGAGAAAAGGCATCTAATATAAAATATTCATGATAAGATAATGGAGTTCTATACAAAGAAGAAACATAAAATTGTAAATTATTCCTTGGTCTGAAAAAATTATTTTCAAGATTGCCGCCAGTGTTGAAAACAAAGGCAATTATTAAGCTTGCAAAATTTTCTTTTGATTTAGATAAATATTCAATGATTAATAAAAAAAAAATATAGAAAGTGTAAAGAATACACATAACACATGGGCTTAATTCTTACATGATATAAGCTATTATACGCATACCTGATCTTCCAGGGTTTCAATCCGAGTCTTAAGTTCCACTATTTCATCTTCTCCTCTTTGTACTTTCACCTGGACATTCAGTAATTCATCCTTCACTTTAAATAACTCATTGTAAAAGGTAATAGAGCATGCAAGAGACGCAACAGCTATGCATATTGTAAATACCATCACAATTGATAGCATGCACATTCTATCCTTATTCTCCATTTTCATTTTATTTTCTTAGTTCTGAACTTAAGAAATCTGTTAAGCTTCCTCTCTTTTTCAAAGTTATGATTTTGTCATATGATATGACTTCTTGGAACTAAGGATGTTTGTTTGGTAAATAATTTTTAGAATTTATGTTTGTTCAGTTTTATGTTTGTTTAGTAAAGGAATGATCGTGTCAGTTTTTATCATCTTGTTTGTTATCTTAGAACTACTGAACCTTGTATTTATCAAAACATTTTTCTATTAATACATCAACATGACTTTTGCAACAAACACGTTGACATCTTGAACGTGTTATTAGGACAAAAGTTTAGTCCTTCATGGTAAAAATTCTAATTTTATTAAAATGAGATTCTTACAAGATTCAAAACTACAGGTACTAGTACATTGCAAAAATGCCATTGTGGCTAAGAGACAACAACTGTTACATTATTGTAATAATGTTTGTCATGTAAATATCTTGTTTATGACTGGTCTATACTATTTTACTATCTGTACTATTTTACTACCTCCGCTATATTTTGTAATATGTTACTAGCTGTACTATTTTGCAAGCTGTACTATTTTACTAGCTGTACCATGTTACTAGCTGTACTATTTTACTAGCTGCACTATGTTAGTAGGTGCACTATGTTACTAGCCGTACTATTTTACTAGCTGCACTATGTTATAATTTCAGATGTGAATGAGTGCCTGGAGAACAATGGTGACTGTTCAATGAAATGTGTTAATACCCAAGGCAGCTTCAAATGTGAATGTGTATCTGGATATGTGGTCAGTATAGCAACATTTATACAAAGATATGATTCTTCAAGAATAAAGATTGAAGAGTGAATAAATCTGTAAATGTACAGGGTGTCCATAAGTCTCTTCACAATTACAAAACAAAGTCTGTAAATTGTAAATAGACTTTCTGGGCACCCTTTATATCTTATTGATTCAAGTTCTGTTATACTTGTAAATCAATGGTCTGTTAATGAAGAAAGCACATAAGAAAGTAAGATTAGATAAAGTTAAATTCTGGGCATGCTTGGTCTTAAAGTCAACCATATCAGGGGCAGTCCTAGAAATCAAGAGGATGGGTCAAAAAATGAAAATTGGGTCTTGAATTTAAAAAATTAGAAATAATTAAATCTTAAATTGATTTGGTTCATCCACACATTATAACTTTTTCCTCAATTACTGCAAATTGCAAACTAAGATGTTATTTGAATTTCATTAGTTGGACGTGGATTCCTCCAGTGAGTGTTTGGATGTAGATGAGTGTGCAGGTCCTAACTCATGCAAACAGCAATGTCTCAATACAGTTGGATCTTTCACATGTAGTTGTCAGGATGGCTTCAGCCTAGCTGCAGATGGCTTTGCATGTGAAGGTGTGTATTTCTGTGAACCACATAATGGGGGCAGGTTGTCAAATAACTTTTTCAGCAAAGTTTAGTATATTTTCCATTATATTAAAGGTTGGAACTGTTCAAAGATTTTTCTAAATTACAAAATAATTCTTGACTTACCTCAGGAGAGTGTTGAATAGAATAAATTGAACACATTCTCCATGGTTGCATTGGTTGGTCAACATGCTAGTTAGATGCAATAGAAAATATATACTAGCTCACACCCCCTCTCCTTTTCCAACCTCTTCACCATTTGACTAAAGTGCCTACACATGTACGGTGATAGCAATATGCTACCCTTAAAAATATTGTACTGAGTGACTGTACTTCAACTATAATGAAGAAAATGTGGAAAATAAAATATGATTTTTTGGAATTCAGCTCCACCAGAGGATGCTTGTGATATATCATGTGGTGGAACTCAGGCAGGGCAATGTGTGAAGATAGATGGACTACCAACCTGCGTCTGCAATGCTGGCTACATAAAGGGTGACAGGGCTCAGGATGAATGTGTAGATATTAATGAATGTGAAAGCCTTGAATCTGATAAACACAATTGTGACTTAAACTCTAACGCCAGATGCGCCAATCTAGATGGACAGGTCATTCCATACCAGTGTTTGTGTAAAGAGGGATTCAGACTTAATTCTGACAAAACGTCTTGCAGAGGTATGTGTGTAAAAACATGTCGTCGATCTCATTTATGGACTGACCAATGAAAAGGAAATGTTTTATTTGACAAAATTCTGTTTAAAAATTGGTACAATTCATAAAAACCACTTTTGGTTATTCATAAAACAAATGAAAATTAGTGTCTGTAGAATGAAGAGTGAAGCACACATAAATTTAGGAAAAAATAATGAAAAAAGTTACATCCGAAACTAGAAGTATGTACTGTGATTTGTCAGATCATGTCACATGACCATATGATAATACACTTAGACATAAAATCAACTTTGATAGTATTTCATTGTATCACACTCCATTATGTAATAATGCTATAATAGGAGTTTAAGCTCGCAATGTTTTTCACAACCTAAACGTGAACGGAAATATTTAATGGATGCATTTGTATTGGCGATTTGTCATATGTATAGGTTGGCGTTTCGATTTTATATGCAAGCTTAAACTCCCTAATATCTGAAAATACCATGGTATATGTCACTGTCAATTAGTATGCTTGAGTCTTGCACTCTGTGTTTTCAGATATCAATGAGTGTAGCACTGATGTGAATCAATGGAAACACCAATGCGATCAGTCTGGCTCAGAGTGTGTGAACACCATTGGAGGATACAGCTGTCAGTGCTTTCCAGGATTTCAACAAAGAACAGAATACAATTGCACAGGTAAGCCCATCAAAATAGGTGTTTAGTCCTTATGAGAAAATTCACTTAATTATATTTCCTTATTTATCATATATTTCCATTTGATTGATGTTAAACTCCATTGAAAAGTTCCCTATATTTTTGACCTGACTTGTTACTTCATTTCAAACATCCTCCACACCTGGAAATGTCTAAAATGTAAATATCTGGGAAATAAAGCCAGAGCATTCTAGGAACCTAGTTGATTATTATCACACATGATTCACATACATGTATACCCTGTATGGTTATTTCTTCAGATGTGGATGAATGTAAAGATGGTACACATGGCTGTCATGTAAATGCTGTGTGTATGAATAGGCCTGGTGGCTACAAGTGCCAGTGCTCAGAAGGTTACGAGGGAGATGGCATCAACTGCAAGGATGTTGATGAGTGTCTCTCGGAGTCCCTAGACACATATTGCAATGTGAACTCTCAAATATGTGTCAACACAAAGGGCAGTTACCAATGTGACTGCAAGTCTGGTTTTAAACAACTTCTTGAAGAAAGTAAGAAATGATATATTCGTTATTGTTGTATTTATCATCATGTTTATGTACTAATCCCTTCAATATCACCCAGGTCATTAAATATGTTTATGTAAATGGCTTTCAATTTTTAAAGGTTTTTAGTTTCAATGGCCACATAATATGTACAAATAAATACTTATGCTTTACATGTGGATCCAAAAAGGCAAAACGTTTGTCAAAGATTTAGAAGATGTCGATGCTTTCTTTAAAATACTTTTTACTTTGAATTTTTAACAATACATGTAATAGCATTATTAGCCTTTTAACAAAAAATAGTACTTCACGTAATATTTCTTTTAACCTTACCCCAGTCCTCCCTCTCTCAAAAACCCTTTACTTTTGATAAATTCTAGAAATACAAGAAAACAAAATGATCCTATATCTCCAAACATACACAATTACATTTTTGACAGCCAGTGGTTGATGTTTTAGTCTGACCCCTTTGTACATATTTACAGGTGTGTTAGGAAATAAAGGAGACTGTATAGATATTGATGAGTGTTTTAGTCCAAGGCTCAATGACTGTCAGTTCCAAGTTGGCTGTATTAACTCCCCTGGCAGCTTTAAATGTACTTGTCAACTTGGCTTCAGACTCAACAATGATGGCAGAACTTGTACATGTGAGTATTTTTGAAATATTGTCTAGCTCTACAGGAAGAGACTACATGTACAAAACACATAAACAAACTTGATTTTATTCGGAATAGCCTATTAGGAAGATCTTCACGACATAACCATCTCTTACTGTGCCCTTTAAGACTTAAACCCCTATTTCACAGTTTATACTGAGAGAACCGTGTTGCACTTGTGAGGTGTTCCACTTTATTATTTACTACACATGCAAATTACATTTTTCGTTATCTCCTATTTAGTGGCTAATGAGTGTGAGCATCCTGAGAAGTACAAATGTGACCAAGTGTGCGTCAATGTCACTGGGAAACCTGTATGTGCCTGCAATAGAGAGGGCTACACGAAGGATCCATTCGATAATAAGAAATGTCTAGGTATGTATCACCCCCTCTCTTAAGATGACAAAATAGGAAATATAACCATAAATATCAGAGGGATCGATGGATGCCAATGGCTGATTGGGGAATGGTGGATTCTGTTTGAATTAGGAGTCCATATTAGCTGTCATCACTTTTTTAAATAAAAACATCCAAATCTGCATTTAATTAAGAAGTTAAGACATATAGTTCATCAATTTTGTGCAGTATTTTGTTAACCTGGCTGTGACATTTTGTCGTGTTAATATCATAGATTGTTATTGGTTTGTTTATTTTGAATTGTAGAGATTGATGAGTGTGCCCAAAGCAGTCTTTCTGCTCCTGAGAGATGTGGTGCTAACAGCAGATGCATTAACACTGATGGAGGCTTCAGCTGTGTCTGTAACGAACACTGGCTCCTGGATGTTGATAGCTTGGCCTGTTCAGGTATGTACTGCACTCCAGGTGTGGTGTTACACTTCATTCATGGATGATGGAACTGTTCTTTATAGTTTTCATTCAGAATTTCAAGAAATACAAACTAAGGCTAACTTAAGTACCAGATGTCAGATTTAGTTGATGCCCTCAAGGTACAGACCTTTGCTCAAAAGGAATTTTCAATATGACTATTCGATTAAAAATACTGTAGCTGCCATTTTGGTAGCAGTCGCAGCCTTTTTTTTTATATTTAAAATTTATTTTCATATCATTTTAAAATTTTACAATTACAATACAATGTTTCTTTTTTCAAGTTCTATTTTAAAATTATGTAACATATTATTATTTTGGTACAATTTCAACTTTTGCTTGTGGATTGTCCACTTAGCAACAATTATTACTTGGTTAATATACTCTTTATCTTTACCTAAAATACCTTTAAAGATGGTTTGTTCATTTAAAATTATTTCACAATTGTTTCTTATAAAGTCCCATATTGGGAGTACAAAATTGCATGTTATAAATCTGTGAGCTAAATCATCCTTATTTTCATTACAAAAATTACAATTTGGCGTTTCCTTTATTTTCATTTTAAAAAGTTTATCATTTGTTATCACAATATTGTGTAAAAATTTCCATTGAAAAACTATTAACTTAGTCTCTTTAGTGACATTATGTGCTAAGCACCAATGAAAGTATTTATCTACATCTGTATCATCCTTTAATAAACTGTTTGTTGGTTCTAAAAATAAATTCTGTATGTAACTAGAATAAACTTGTTTTGTTGTAAGGATTTTGACACTAGCTGTCTCTCTTTTGTGCAGAGCTCCTCTTAAAATGTTATACTCTAATGTGCAATTAATAGCGGTTTTTGTATTGAGATCATTTAAAGACAAAAGATTATTTTCATCATCAAAAATATCTTGAAAGTATAATATATCTTTTTTAACCAAACGTTCTAAAAGGATACATTTGTTCTTGTACTGAAAATCCTTATTCAGCCATACACTTTGAGCTACTTTATCAATTACTTTATATGCTGAGTTATTAAAAGAAATCCAAGATTTTAATACATCTTTGTAAAATTGTGGAACACTTTTGTGTATATACTTTTGAACATTGCTAAAAGTGTCACTTGCTTTTAAAAGTACATCATTTCCACATATTTTGTTAATATAATGTTTGGGTAAAATGCTCCATGAATTATCATGTGTTTCCAGTAAATTATGTGCCCATTTACACAATAAACTGTTGATTTTACTTTTTAGATCAACCATTTTATAACCACCTTGTTAAATTTGAATAATACTACTTTATAAGGTTTATTCTCTGTTATACTGTGGTATAAATACCAGTTATGTAAAAAATCCATCTGTTCCTCTAGAAACCAATGGTAACTGGGGGCCCTGGACCTCATACAGTAGTTGTTCGAAACGATGTGCTGGTAGGATGACTCGCAACAAGACATGCTCCAACCCACCTCCCACACAGGGCAGGTTCTGTGAGGGTACTCCCCTTGACTACAAATTATGCAACACTAAGCTCATTCCTGGCAAATGTGAAGGTAAAGTCATTGATGATGTGTAATTGTTAATGTTGAACTACAATCTGTTTTACCCCATTTCTAGATTCAAATTCCCAGAGTTTTCATCCCACTGAAATAATAGTCCCCTTCATTTTAATGAGTGAGAGGAACAAAACAAGTAAGCCTCTATACAATCCACTACTGGAAAAAACTTTACAAGCTGTCCATTACTGGATCTACATTTATATTTGCAAATGTGTAAATGTTTGATGTTTTATATGTTCATATTGTACATTTCAGTAAAGACAACAGAAATTGACAAAGGTATTATGGTGGTCTTTCCAAATCTTAATCCAGTACATGTAAGTATAGAACATTGTACATTTTATTGTCCATTCAATTTTGGTATATTATCATTCCAATATAAAAGCAGTTAAAACTCTCTACTATAAGTTCAATATCTTCCTTAACGCTTTGTATATTCTGCTGCAAAAACATAAAAATTGAAGTTCCTCATATTTGTTTTCCAGTGGGAAAGCATAGAAAATGCTATGTTTGCTACTCTGGCCTCTCAAGTGAACAAATACTGCCAAAGCAGTGAAGACAATTTTGTGAAATGCTGTCCAAAGTTTGATCTACCACCGTGAGTATTTGGAGCACCGTGTAGTTCCTATTTTGTACTAAATGTTTGTGTGTCTATGTGTGTTCAGTATTTTCTACACCCATGTAATTACTACTGTTCTACCAGTTTTGGAGTTAAGTGGTCATAACATGGGCTTTCTCTATTAAATAAATGCCCATGGTCATAATCATATAAGTAAATATAGGGTCATACAAGGTCAGGGTCAACTTAAAGATCGAAGGTCAATATTTGGGTATGACATTTCTGTATTCTGAAGCTTTAATAGTATTATCGAGGTCAAGGTAAGCCAAGGCTATTTCTATAGGTCATGGTCACATGCAAAGTCAATTCATATGTTCATTGTATTTCCAGGCTTCCTTAGTCTATGTTTCATCAATCCTCATTGTCTGGAAGTTTCAATTTCACCAAAAGGTGCCTTACTTAGGTCAGATAAAATTACATATAGAGATAAAGTTCTCCTAAAATTGAATAATTAATGAGTCAGTAATAATCTAACCTATTTGTGTGTGATAATTATATCATTTATTATTTTTCAGTTAAAGAAATTGAATGAAATGTATTATATGTCCAATACAGGATACACGATTTTTCATTTATTTTGATTTTTATAACACAGACTCTTGAGAATCTATACAACTTAGAAATCACATTATCAAAATAAAATAAAAGTGCAAAATTGGTGAAGAATTTTTTAAACCCATATGTAATTGAATCTTGTATGCAAATTTCAAATATGATAATAATTTGACTAAATTTGGAAAAAATGATGAAAATCAACAAGATTTGAATTATGACCCTATATACTAATCTACCACATAAATTATGTATTTTGAAGATAATTGAAGATGAGATTTCATCTACGTATACTTTTGTTGTGCTATGAAGAATCTACCACATAAATTATGTATTTTGAAGATAATTGAAGATGAGATTCCATTTACGTGTTGTACTTTTGTTGTGCTATGAAGAATCATATGATTGAAACATTCCTGCTTTCCAGGTTTTCCCCACCATACTTGAGTAATGCCATCGATCCAACTGGAGCTGAATTTAGGACTGCTAACACCTACCCTAGAGCTCATGAGCAGGGGATGAAGTTAGTAGAAACTCTCAATTCTATTTTTCTGTTTTTGAAATGCCTCAAAAATACATTGCCTGCTTAATGTCAGACATGTCAGTCTGTCAGATCATTATATGGGATGTTGCAATTTTGTACAATTTCATATTTTTAAGTATTTTATGATTTTATTTTTTTCATAAAACTAAACATAGCACAACTACTCTATCACTTTTAAGATCAATTTAAGCAACTGTATCTGTTACACATTCACCGGATAAATACTTGTGGAGAATACCTTTTGATATAGAATTAGAATCATAATGTAGTGACATCCAATATAAACAAACATATTGTGTGTATGAATTTTTAGGACTATAATGTTACTGATTTTAGGGTTGTTGTCTATGTTGATGCACTTGTATCCAATCCCCTCTGTAATGGCGAGCTGCCTGAATCCAGACGTAAGCGGGACACAAGATTGAAGCGTGCGGCTGAGACGACCTATCCTATGGACCAAGAAGTGTTGACATCTGTAGCAAATCAACCAGACACTAAGTTACATCTTCAACAGGTACTACTTATTCAATGATGGAAATTCTGTCTATGAAGCAATAATGTTAAAGCCCTTTCCCTTTCTTGATTCTAATTAATCCAGCCATTTGTTGCATAATGAGAAATTACATTTCATGAAAATATCACAATAGATTTTGTGATGTAACGATAAAATGAATATCCTTGTTTTAGACTGATGTTGTCTTGTTAATAAGAATGATCAGATTGAATGGTCTGAAGTATCCTAACGTGCTTTAGCCAACATGTTTAAATTGAAGCTAGGCTATTGGTTAAGGTTAATGTTTCGTGTTTCTTTCAGGAGTTGACAGATTCAGGACACAGTGATATAGTGAATGATGCTACAACTTACACTGCAGAGAAAGCCCCTAATGAAAATGAAGCTCCAACTGTTGAGCCAGTTGCAGCAGAAATGGATTCCTGGGTCATTCCAGTCATTGTGGTTGCTGCCCTACTTGTTATTGTTGTTGTTCTCATCATAGCAGTAGTGCTCATACGCAAGAACAAGTAAGTTTTGGGCATTGCTTACTTCCAAAAACAAATAAATTCTCATCATGTTAAGTTCTTATTTTATATGCAAAATTAAGTAATTCGTACTAGTCCAACAATACTATAATAGTGTATCAAGTTCATATGCCGGTTTAGGTACGCTCATTATTCTAAAATGATGTATTCCATGCCATTGCCAAACAAACAAAAGATATAGATATGAATGGTTTATACTGTAAGTTTACATCTCATATGAATAACTTTCCAGGGCAAAGAAAGCAGGGGAATCAACCAATCAGAGCCAGATGTTGGACCATGAGCCCAATGAGGTGCACCATCATCATGTGGATTACCATGGTGAACTTCACGGGGATACACCAGAGCCCCTTACCACTGATCCAACCGGACATAGGCCCTTCTCAGTCAGCTCAAGTGTGGGATTCTCCAGGGCCACTCTCTTTGATGATGGTATGGTTCACCCCAATACTCCGCAATATGGTGATGAGGAGCAATTGGTTGTACCAGATGAGACGCGAGGCTCATACTCCGGAAGTGTGACACAGAGCAGAGTTAGCTCGAGAAGCTCTGGGAAATCTAGTAGGAAATCAAGCTCAAGAAATAGCAAGAGGCCTAGTAGTGCTTTATCAACCATGTCAAACCCCCCAGTAAGTGCCCCCTCTAGACCTATGTCCACTGTGAATCAGACGTCCCAATCTCAGGAAAATCCCAGGCCTGTATCTGCTAAAAGCGAAAGGCCTGAATCTGCTAAGAGTAAAAGGCCTGAATCTGCATCTGCCAAAAGTGAAAGGCCTGGATCTGCTAAAAGTGAAAGGCCTGAATCTGCTAAAAGCGAAAGGCCTGAATCAGCTAAAAGTGAAAGGCCTCAATCTGATAAAAGTGAAAGGTCTGGATCAGCTAAAAGTAAGAAGCCTGAATCAGCTAAAAACAGTGAAGAGTGATTACAAATGATTTATTCTAAACTGGAAGCTAAGAGTGTTGTATAGAAGACAATCTCTGTTGAAACACCTTTCCTTGAGAGAGTTCAAAAAGACTATAGCACTTTCCAGGACTGAATGTTATTACATATGTTGCACATTATATAATACATGTATATTCGTACTTAAAAATAGAAGTGTTTCAACTTATTTTTATTTAATTAATTTTAAATCATATATGTACTGGTACATGTATTGAAACTTTTGAATTGTAACTGCAAAAAAGCGAACAAACATTGTTTATAAAATCATTAGGGGTGGCGGGCAGATTCGTTCTCAGACTGAGATAAACCATTGGAAAGATGGGACTTTCTGATGCAAAATACGCTCTAAATTGATATGATATGTGATAGAGAGTTATCTTTCCAATATTATATTTCAGTTTCAATTTGTATTCATCTTCACTGAACATAAACTTAACTACAAGTACCATTTGTAAAAATATATCAAAAATTATTAAATTATTAAAATTATTAAAACATAGTGAGGAAATTGTTTCCTTATAATATCCAGAGTTCAAATCCAGTTGGAATGGAGAATCATATTCAGTAGATTTTTTCTAACATATACGTATAGGCTATATATTTTTTTGAAATGTTTCACTAATAAGAATTTACCATCAGTTTCAATCACAATTTCTCAGTCTTTAACTGATATAATTCTTAACATCCATAGATTTGTAATAAATTCGATAATTATTGTAATCCTCTCAAAAGTGTGAAAACCTTGGACAGCTTGTTATTAATTCAATAATTTTTTCCATTGGAAACTTATGACAAAAATGAACAATTTATAATACATGTGATAGCCAAACATGAACAGATTCCAGCATATAGTCAAATAGGATTGGATTTGCCATACTTTTGCAGGGGGGGGTGTAGATGTAGTCAATGGAGTTGTTTATTTGTTATGAGAAGCAGAGAGAGAGAGAGGATCGAGGCTTAAGACAACACTACATTTATTATGGAAATATAAAGCATCACCTATTACTTACATCTTATAATAGCAGTTTTGTTCTGTTTTATCCAACTTTCACGCCATTATTAAACAATGTATTAACATCACAAAAATTTCACCACTTGGTTGGGTTGCCATTACATAAAAATGCTACATTTGCAAGGTAAATGGGTGAATCATTTTTTCAACTTTTTCTCAGATCTTGGTGCTAATCAAAGGAAATAAACACGCCCTTAACTTATAAAAAAATTTCAGCTCAATCGGCCAATGTTTAGACCCCCTCCCCCTACCGCATTTCTGATGCCCATTCGCTACCATGTTAAAAATCTTCTGAAAGTGTCAATTTCATCAAGGACTTAAAGGTTCGGGACCATACACATTCTAATCATTGGAGTTATGGTCACCTAAATATGGTAAAAATCCATTCACGTGGGGCAATTAAAAATCTCTTCCATTTTCAACTATTTAAATGAAAATCACCGTAGTCCCTGTGGAAGAAAATGGGTGTCAAACATGATGAAATTGACACTTTCAGCGACTTTCAGGAAGATTTTTAGCATGGTAGCGAATGGGACACCCCCCCCATCCCCAAAAAAAATTGAAAAAAATATTTTTTAACTCCTACACTTTTTTCTAGCTCCAGAATAAGCATCTGTAAACGTTCCTCCCATCCCCTTAAAAATAAAACAAACAAGACTTTTATAATTCAATTGTTACCCCATGTACACAAAAAGAGAAATTTGAACAATATTAATTCATACACTTTAAAGTGGCTAGAAATCACCAAATAATAGATTCTATTGACTCCTACACTCGGGGGCAAAACTCTCTCTATACTCTCTTTTACCCTGGATAATAAAACAATGTACCCTTTGCAATCGTTTGACTTCATTTCTTAAAAGAGAGCTTCATCTTCGTCTTGTAGTTTAACTAGACTCTGCACGCAGGGTAAAAACAATGAGGTAGATAGTAGTTGTTCAATGTCCCAACTACACGTACAGTGCTGACATGTATCGTTATTCTTGTGTAAAATGACGACAGTGCACGAGAACCACGGTCCTGCTTTCCATTGAATATAGTCTTAAACAAAATACCTCGGGAAAATTCAAATGATGTTCAGATTCTTAACACTTTCAGCTTTCCAACGGTATATTGGAATCTTAGTCCAGAGGTGGTCATTTATATCACCCTGGTTTGCTCTACGTTGTATTTGTGGAGTGTCTTATAAAAAGGAAAATTCACACTACAGCCATTTACACCACGACACGACACAACGTGTTGACTCATTGTAATAAAATGTTGACTCATTAAATTGAATGACTTTGAATAGAAGTCGCCAAACAAGTATAAAAATCGTGAAATAATAAATTAAAGCGCTGTTGCCGAAACGGTGGATAATAAGAATAATAGGCTACAACTCTCCAAATATCGAAAACTCGTATTTAGTGAACAAATCATGGAACTATACCGGCAGGTCTTGGCCTTTCTTACTGTTGTCGGATTTGTGGGTGCTTACCCAGGAGGCCCACCCGTAGGAGCATGTCAGCATATGTTTCCCGTGGAACACAACCGTACAGCGCAGAATACAACCGCACCATTTGAGGTTGCTATCTCAGGGACCAAATATGCAGGTGGCACCGAAATAACTGGTGAGATGAACGACTTAACTTTTTCATTTTTTCGTTTTCAAATGAATTTGTTTTCTCATAAAATCTCAAAAAAACATTATGAATTTTTAAATATTTTAAATTAGATTTCATTTGGTGACTTCAAATCCACACTTAGAATTGAATACCAATCAAAGGTTACAGGGTAGCCCAAAGCATCTGCCTTCATTCTCTGTCCTATGAATACTTCTAAACAACCTGGTATCGCATTCAAGGGTTTGTCGCTTGATTGATTGTATATCCCAAAATTTATTTAGTCCTTCGTTTCCGTATTCACCTTGTCATGGACAATCTAAAAATGGGCTTACTTTTCTAAAAGACCACTTTTCAATATCATGTCTCAACTAATGACTAAAGGCTCTGGTCTGTTTGACTATCAGATTTTGTCAGACATCTTAAAAAAAATGCGTAAACCTATTTACCAATATAGTTCTTTCCGCCTTTGAAGAGAGTCTATCCATTACTTGAATTATTTTCCGAACAGACAGATGGACTGACTGAGCGAGGGCTTCAATTTATTCTACTGAACTATGTTCGTTGGTATAACTGCGAACTGATTTCTGAAGAATCATCTAGCCTAAAATCAAAAGTCAAAACTGTTGAACTTTTTATCGCACTTTGAAAAAGTGCTATATTGCAGTGTCTTGTGTGATGGGCGGACGCGCGGAGAGGCGCCACATAGGAATCAAATCTTGTCATCAAAATTGCACTTACCACTTAGCCTACCTGTTCAACTTGAAATGTGTACAGATGCGAGAGCAGACTAGTGCCTAGATCTTATTAGATTTAGGAAATGCTGGGTAAATTAGCCTACTTGGCGGCCATTTAAAAAATTTCCACAAATCTTGTCATTAAAATTCCAGGAAAACCAAGAATCTGTTCAACTTGAAATTTTTACAGATGAGAGAGAAGACTAGTGCTAAGATCTGATTAGGTTTGACAGTATGCTGAGTAAGCTACATGGCGGCCATTTTGAATTTTTTGATAAATCTACCATTTTGAATTTTTCAAATTGAACACATTTTAAAAAATCATCTTAAAGTTCTCAGGAGTTTAAATCTGACCTTAAATTTGTGGCGTGGGGTCTATATGGTGCTCAAAAATGGTTCGGGTAAAAAGGCGTGGGTTGTACGTTAAAATGCATTTTAGTAGCATAGGTTTCATTTATTCTCAAGTGAGGAAATTGAAGTGAAGAGACGCGAAAGAGATGTGAAAACAAAACATTTTTTGTGATATCGGCACTGTATTTTGCAGGCAGGCGGGCAGGCTACACAGGTGGACTCTTGTCATAGGTATTATTTTCGTAGGGATGGAAGGATTCAAAATGTCATCTTTCATTCCGTATATACACAGAGAAAACAGAAATTGATTAACGGAGTGGGATGCGTTTCAATGATCCAATGATACTTTCAGCAATTTCAGAACGTTAGTCCAGTGTAATTAATGTGTGGAATAATTAATTCAATAGGCATTTTGCGGCTCAATGCTAGAATAATGTTTGCCCATCCGACCTGCAGGTAGGGCCTGCTACTACTCTCACTAAATCAATAAATGAACCATAAAAACTAAAAAAAAAAAAAAAACTCTCACTAGATGTCGCCTAGACCTAGAAAAACCTCAGAAATTATGGTAACGTGTCTCTAAACATGCAGCTATGGTAGTGTGTCTCAAAACCCTTTTATGGCAGGCGTCTGTGATTGCACTGTAAAAAGTTCGTAGAGTGAAAATATATCACCAAGGATGTTTCAATACCAATCATTCAGATTTCATGGTTTCAAATATAATTTGGAAATATTGTCCAGGTCGAAGCGGTTTTAAATCATTCTGATTTAAAATTCTCCTTTTTCATACTAGGTCTACATAATTGTACCCATGATTCTCAATTCTCGGAATGCAGTTACGTGAAATAGCGTGTTCTGATTGGCTGGACACACCTGGTCTAACTATGCGTGAATTGGCCAAATAATGGTACCCTATAAACCTCCAAAGGTGCACTTTACTGCTTAATACAACTCCCCACGCCTTTTTTACCCAACCCATTTTTGAGCATCCTGTATACCCCACGCCCAACACCAAACGCATTTCACCCAAACCCTAATGGCGGCTCTAATCTTCTAATTCCACTACTTTATAATCACCCTGTATTTTGCGTTTAGGTACGTAATGTGCTGTTAGTCGATGGTGATACTGAGAACTCTCATTAAACAGGGGTGTGTGTATCCAAAAGGTGTAATACAAATAGTCAACCTGAACTCAATAAACAAAAGCTTGAACAAAACACAATATTTTTACGTTCAGTACACCACTCTATGTTAGGTGACTTCATAGTACGTTTAGCTTAACTCGAAATTCTGGTTTGACTACTTTATTTACATGAACTTTTGCATACAATTAAAATGCCTTGGTGTTATGGTGTTATTTATTGTTTAATTGTTTCCAAATGTCTATTTGTTTCGAATCATTTACAAACTACACAAGGATTCCGAAATGGCTACTGACAGCTCCAAACTCTTGAAATCAGGAAATATGTTTTTTTAAAATCATGTTACCCATTTCGTTGAATTCAATTCAACGATCCTTAGGCACTATTTCGCCTAGTCATTTTGTTTATTTAGTCGTGTCAAGGCAACACTCTTTTCAAGGTATCTATACTAACAGTCCATAATAAAAATGTAATTAATGTTTGATTCGTGACGAACGTGACTTGGTTTTTTTCAGTGACTGTGCGCAACACGAGCGACACGTACTTCGAAGGCTTGTTTGTCCAAGCGAGAAGGGTTAGCGACAACGTGAATGAAACTATCGGATCCTTCGAAGTTCCCACCGGTCAAAATTTGAAAACCATGGATTGTCTTTCCAAAGAAAAGGTAGAAGTGGTGTTATTCATGTATCAGAATGCAGAAGATGAAAATATTCATGCTGGGCCTACCTCCTTTCTATGATAAATTCAACCTTGCCTCAAGCAATCGTACATTTGCTAATATAAGCCTATACTTCCCTTTTGAATATGACACCATTATGTCAAAATAAACAATAAAAAAACAAGTACAGATTCTCGGGGTACCTCGACCCGTCAATGCATACATATACCTTCATTAATTTCAAAATTATAGCCTAAAATGAATATCATAAAAATCATTTTCATATTGGTCTAAACTAAAAATTGATAAATTGTTGATTATTATAATGTACTATAATATGTTTTATTAGCAATATTTAATCGAAAACAAATAGGTCATTGAGAGAACAACTCACTTATTTCAATTATCTGTTTTAATGCTAATGGAGAATTTGCTTTCAGTCGGCTGTTTCCCAAAGTAAGAAAGCCCATTACACTGAGAAGCAGTTCACATGGATTGCCCCTGCGGACTTTAACGACGATGTCAGGTTTAGGTAAATTAATAAAACTATTCTTGTGTGAATCGCAATATGTTTTAGGTCGATATAAAGATGGCAGCAGTGGTAGAATTTTATTATATCTTCTCTTAGGAAGAGTTGTCTCCAAGATATGTAAAGCAGATTGATCGCAATGCTATCTTTATTTAAAAATACCATTTACGATCGCTCTTTAGCCTAGTTTGATATTTGCTAATACCGTATATAAAGGATGTAGAAGGGAGTTGACATATATTTTTTGTTCTCATTAAACATGGTCAAATGTTTAAGATGCAAAAGTCTAATACATTTGCTAAGAAGTTGTCTTCAAAAGTAAATAGTACTAAGTATTTACGATCTATATGTAAACGTAACGAGTTTAACTTTTCCTTTCAAGGGCAACTATTGTTCACGAGACTCATGATTTTTGGGTGGATGTATTTTCAAACACCATGAGATATGATGCATCTCTAGAAGTAAAAAACACCAATGGTGCCGCTACGCTCGCAACCAGTGTCCTTACCATAGTCGCCTCTGCATTATTTATTTTACATTAGGTAAAATATCGCACAAAGGACATTCAAACAATATTCTTTTAGAACTTCTCCATTCGAGTCCTACAATAGGATGTTTACTAACCTCAGTCCAAGGGCCTTGACAAGGAGCAGGTGTTTGCCAGTTTGCTAGTTGTATTTGTCTTTATAAATTACACACATACATGGATAGATTACACTCAAGTTTTATAGAAAAAGTGTAGGACCAAAATGTTCTTTTCCTGATAATTATCAATCTTTGAATCTATGTAACATTGTTTTAAGGATTTATTTGGAAATAGAATACAACCTACAAAAAATATTTTGGTTATACATGTATTTGTGATCTGCACTATATATTCTAGTTTATATCGGCAAAGGTGCATGTACTTTTGAATTTCAGTATGCGCCCAAGACCCTTACAGTCGTGACAAATGCTATTACAAGCCCATTCCTGGGTTACATTGTAATCTTTCCCAATTCTCCTTTTTTGTGGTTCGCTCTTTAATCGAGAAGGTACGAAAATATGTACTTAAAAAGCCCCCCCCCCCACCAAAAAAGGACAAACATTGATTAGTCGATATTTTACCACGATGCATTATATATTAATTTCCTCTCATCAATAAAGTTACAATAATTACATATTGAAAAAACTATAAACAAAAATAGTTCAAATTGAATTGACCCGCCAATAGTTAACTATGGCCTTGAAGCTTTTTAACCTATTTTGAAATTCTTGGTCTAAGATCCATCATTTATGGACACTTAGAAATGAGAAAGCCCTGGATATAACATGCACCTAATCTTGAACATCGTCTCTTGAGGGTCTTTCACACAACTTTAATCCAAACGTTCCCAAGCAACAGTCTTCAAGATATGTTGACCGTTAGCATGATTTTTAACATTTTCAGTTAGGTCGTACTTTTAAGGCGTGTACCAAAATGTCATTCGTTTACGGGCAACTTTAAATTCAACAATTGTCATTCTAAACAGCATCACTTGTTATTGACCATTGGACAGTTTAAGAGCATCTGATTAAAACATCAATTTAGAAATGTCAGCTCTGTATTCTATATTCCACCATCCGAGTGGTTCGTCACGCAACGATGCACTCTGCAAAAGCAGGGAGCGTTTGAAGGCTTTGTATAAAAAACCTCCTACCTCATACCCACGTACGTGGGACATGATACAGTCTTTGAAGGGTTCAAAGATTTTAGTTTATTAAATCTTAGTTTATGATGAAATATAGATGCATTTGTAACGACCCTCGATAGCAAGTTGGTACTACATCCCCGGTAGCTGGTTTTGATTCCCACTCGGGGCATCGAATTTAGCACCCTTTCTTTCAATCATCCATATGCCTTTATTTATGGATCTGTCTAGTCATAAATAAAGCCGGAATTGTAGAAATGTTAATAATTTGAGCTATTTTGAGATTTAATTATCTTTAGAATTGAACCATTCAATGACTGTATCATGTTCCACGTAGGTGGGTATGAGGTAGGAGGTTTTTATACAAAGCCGCGTTTGAATCATCCTCCCTACCTTGCACTGTGCAGTTTCCTGTGATATGTGTGGATTTTCAATAAATTAGAGCCATATCAATATTTTCAATGTTATAAGGAATTCGAAGTGATATGTGAACAAGTCAAAAGTACTTTTTAAATGACTTGACTTCTTTGTTCGAAAAATTGGGAAATATTAAGTATGGAGAAATATTTGGATAAATAAAATTGTTTCAACTTCCCATGGTGCCTGTAGTGTAAGTTTGACTTATATTATAACACCTGATGTACTTTAAATGAAAGGTTGAGACAAACATGAAACATATCTTAACCACTTCTCACGATTTGCAAATATTTGGAAACGTGACTGATGTTTTTCAACAAATTGTTAACTATTGATCAGCTTGTTGGATTTAAATCGTATTTAAAGGAAGGTCATCACTTTAATTTGTTCTATAAGAAAACGTAGGGCTTATTGTGAAATAATATACTACTGTTCATACATGTCGATAGAAATTAGAAACTTACAAGTGGGAGGTGAGGTAAAAAATATCACATTAATGACAATTTCTTTTGTGCTCTCACGGTGAGGCCATGAAGTCATTGAAGGTCAAATCTTTTTTGACCTAGAGAATGTCATTGAAGGAGTTAGATTGGAACTGTTGAAAACCTGTATTGTGTAGATGATTTTGAAAAAACAAGCCACAGGGTGAACAGAATCGCACCCTTGAACAGAATACACTTTTTGGATGGAAAATTCAAAATGGTCACCTTAACATTTACCCAGACTGCCTAAAAACTAATCAGTTCTAAACTTTCCATAGAAACATCTCTAAAATTTTAGGATGAATCCATGAAACCTGTATTAACAACCCTCAAGAGACACGTTTTAAGGTATTACTTCACAGTGTATCAGCTTTTTTTCTACTATTCAGATTTTCTGAAAAAAATCCTGGTAAAAGATATACTGATGTATTACAAAATATTTGAAAATTGGAAAGATTGACCGTTTAGTTATTTCTAAAAAAATGTTTTAATTTAACATTGCTCTCAATGGGAAATTCTTTTTTATTTTTTTAAACAAGCCTTCACAGACACAATTTTAGGACGAAAAAGCCAAAATGGCCGCCTTAACATTTATCAAGAATGCCGAAAACTAATCAGTTCTAAACTTTTATAGGTAGAAACATCCCTGAGAATTTCAAATGAATCCCTCAAACGGTTTGGCTGGAAACCTGTAGACAAGCCTTGACAGACAAGATTTTAGGACGGAAAATCCAAAATGGCCGCCTTAACATTTACCCAGAATGCCGAAAAACTGATCAGTTCTAAACTTTCATAGGTAGAAACATCCCTGAGAATTTCAAATGAATCCCTCAAACGGTTTGGCTGGAAACCTGTTGACAAGATTATTCGGGACGCCTGCCCGCCAGCAAACTGATTACAATATAGCACCTTAGGGTGCGATAAAAATTGGTCAATTTGAAGCAAGTTGAAAAAAGACCTTTTTGACCTTTCATGACCTTGAGGTCAAATCTCAAGTCAGCTTTGAACTTTTGATAACTTATAGATGATTTTGAAAGAAGTAAAGTCAGTCTAAACAGTATTTGTTAAGTTATTGGAAGTTGTCTATGTCAATAATCTGCAAAAGGCTAATAAGCCCATATATAGCAGATATATAATTTAACAGTGATAGAATTTGAATAGAATATGAAAAAAACCTTAACATTTAAAAATAGATCTATGGTTTATAACTCATTTTGTTGTACAACTAAAGTTGTAATTATTATATATGCCGGCAACCAACCGCCGTCAAAAAAGAAGACCATCACAATATGTCACCACTTTTTGGTGGTGACATAAAAATGAAAATTCTCTGGTTTCAAACCCATTTTAAAGCTGAGAAGTTAAAGGTTAAATGGTTTGTTTTGTTTGAAAAATGTAACATTGAGGATTTACCTTACCATGTTCATTTAAGGTAATGTGTATTCAATACAGAAAAACTACAACACAATTCATATATTTTACATCTATATATATTTCTGTTTTATTCATTTGATGAATGGTCCATATGTATATGTACCTACATTCCATTTCTGTGATGTTTAGGAGATCAGTATGCATTATGTTCCTCTTGTCAAAACATGTCTCAGTATGCCAGATATATAATGAGATATAACAGATCAACATATTTTTAAACACCATATTTTGCAACGTATGTCCTTCAAAACATAAACATACAATTTGTCCAAAAGGTTCCAATATACCATTTGAAAAGTGAGTGCCAGAATTGGTCTAATTATGTAGATTTAAACATGTTGGTACAAAGTTCACTAAACATTTCATCATTAAGGAGTTAGTTGACTGAATTTCAGTTTTATTTTAAAAATCATTGTACATGACACTTTTATTTTGTAATGGTATATTCAAACCCCAGGAAAAATAGCATCATTCTTTTGCCATTCACTTGCTCAACTTATGGCATCAATCGGATGAGAGGTACTGTTTTCATTTTAAAATTACAACCAAAGATGGGGATAAAACATGTATGTACTGGCCAAGGTATTAAAATGGATGACTTATTTACATGCAATTACATTATTGAGACAAACACAATACAATACAAACAACATTATGTTATACACTATATTATTGTCATATTATGTAGTTTGTTTGTGAACAATACATACACATTCGATTGATAGTAGGTGGGTGTCATGCTCTTCGTTCATATAACAACTTTGAAGATGAATCATTTTCATGGATGATTATAAATGTGCTACCAATATGTTGACAAACATACAGATGGATGGACAATTGGTGATGACAAAAGCTCAACAGTGTGACATTAAAACATCTTCCAGTATGTGATATTACATTTTTGTTGAGGTGGACATGCATAGTTTCCATTTCTATAAATTATCTGACAAAGAAACCTATTTATAAAAATCCTCACATTTATTTAATTATGCACTACTAGCACTAGTGACATCTTTTACTATCTAGCATACTCAATATTTTTAATATTTTTCAGATTCTGTTATATTCACTGTCGTATGTTGAATTCATTCATATCTGGTCTCATTCCAAGACTTTTCCTACTGTCTTAGTATCTGTTTTTGTTTATATTCCAAGAATGTTGCGTCTCTTACATACATGTATGTATAACAATTACATGTACCACATTATTTGGCAAGTCAAGCAAATTTAGCGACTCACATTTGCTGATGTAGGAATATCCATTTTCAGATGCATCTACTTGTATTGTCCAAATTAAAGATGTATGTACTGTATACCTGTCAGCAAAACTGGAAAAAAGTGTGCAGCTTGATTACTCAATATCTCGAGGGAATATTAAAGTTTTTCAGTACATGCATATGTTTACATACTATAACTATTTTCCACTTCTTTTATTTATCTTTTTACAGCAAACCAATAATATAATAACGCAAAACAACTGACATAATCAAAATCACCACTTTGAGGAGCAACTCTTCTGTAGAACATTGTAATCTGTAATATGTATTTGGTATGCAGGTGTACACGTCCTATGTATGGTGTGATCTGAATTAGGGTTCCTAAACTAAGTATCCTTGAGAACATGAATTCAGTCTAATTAACACAAGCAACTGACATAATATACAGAATTGGCATTTCTATACATTCCAAACTCAGAATTCTTACCTTCCAGCGATTGCCACAATTATTACACAGCACAAAAGTTGTCATAGGTTCATCAGCACTTCTTGTCTGGACCTACAAACACATAAAAGTATTGGTAACAAACACAGTTAAGGATTTTTGGAACAAGAAACTCAATTAAACCATTAAAACTTTTGTCAACTGGAGAAATAATCATATTGGTGTAGCTTCAATAGAATTACTATTATCCTATCACTCCTCATTCTGAACATTCAATTATATAAACAAGGAATCACTTTAAAAGTCACCCTATGCCTGTGGGAAATATTTGGTGCAGAAAAAGTGAGCGTTTGGTGCAGAGTCAATAGTCATTTTTGAATTTAAATTTGGAATATTTACTGAAACTAAGCCATTTAGGACTTAAAATATACTCATATTTGTTTAGTTGACACAGAATATCAATAAAATTATGAAAATAGTAGTGGAATTCATTCTATAACATTTGACGCCCCAATTTAATCATCTGGTGGTGAAACTGGTAACTAACTACTCACATCTGGGTTATTTGCTCCATACCCAAGATAATGAAATTTAATTGATGTGACAAAAAGATGCAGAGTAGCAAAATCAACAAGTTAGATGTAATAAGTAAGTCGCCACAAGCTAATCCAGTGTGAAAAAAATTTACACAAGCAGCTATTTAGGACAGATGCAATGAGTGAGTAGAGTGTGAAGATTCACATTAAAGTTGTTCCACTATCAATGATATTCATATATTGAAGCATTTTCTTGTTTACCTGGTTATATGTGCAGTTTCTTTTGCCACACTTTCCACATTTCAGTAAGTCAGTTGTGGTTCCGCCTGAGACAGACATTTGATGATCATCTATAGATTCCTTTGTATACTTGGCCCGCAATTTTTGCATCTCTTCATTTGCCATTTCCTGTAGAAAATAAATTCATGAATAACACAAAATTTAAAGCTTATGATATAAATGTTGTTCAATTCATATTTCTATATCTTGCTTTGTATTTATTGCGCCCTGAAAATCACATAACCTATTGATATTGATCCATATTGAGACATTAGGTCCATACTCCATAAGGCCAATTCTCATGAATGTAGAGAACTTCCACATTTGATTCGATATTTCAATTCTTTTTTTAGAGAGTGAAAGATCCCTTAAAACATTTTACACTCTTTAATCTGAGCTGCCACTTTTAAATGTTTCAATTCTTCAGGACAAAGCACCAACAGGACATCTCTCAAATGAATTACTCCGCCTAACCAAAAGAATATACCTCTCGTCTTACCTCTGAAGTCATTACAGCTAATTTTTCTGCAGCAATACGCCCACTTAATACATGTTTCCGCAACTCTGGATTTTTCTTGTCTCTTAAATTAGATACCCTACTTCTAACCCTACTTTTGTATTTCATCCCAGTGTTCATCAGTTCTGTATAAATTGGTAGGATTGTTAAGGAAGCAAGATCTTCTGACAGATAGTAATGATAATATACAGGTGATTTCTTGTTATCCCAATGAGATTTGAACTATCTAAATCTCAATATATTACAGCACACTTTCATATACTGAGTCAGTTTAAATAAAATGTATGCTGTATTTATGAATAAAGAACATAAAAATCATTTCAGGCAATAGTCTTGCATTATGACAGCCTGTGCTTTTTCATACTCCTTTAAATGCCAACCATTGATTCTCAATCCAACTACATGACCACCAAATGAGTCTGAGGCCACATGATTTGAACTTCAAGTGAAGGCAAAACAAATCAAATCTAATCATTTGAAGTGATTAACAGATATGGAGCTGTCTTTGAAAAAGACATACATGCATTGTTTATCCATCAACTGTTAAAGGATATTGTCTTCAATAGCTGCTGCAATGTCTTCAGGAGTGCCAACTGGGTTCTCTACAGCACCTGCAAGGCAATGTACAACATAATTTATAAATTAAGACCATAATACTGCACTGCATAGGTGTGTCATGTTGAGAGGTTCTGCAGGGAAGTATCAATGAAAGTATTCTGTCATATGTTTGTATCCCTTTAGCAAGAGACAAAAGGCAAGAGGACAGACAAAGACAAGGATCACCAAACTGAACTAAAACCTTGAAATACTATAATCAGTTGACAACAATAATCAGTATTGTTCACAGAATCAAATAAGTGGCTATATAAATGTACCTACCATCTCCTTCTGCTCCTTTCAATGCATTGGTCAACATTTCTCGGCACTTCAGCCGTATTTCATCCCCTGTGTCATTAGCCCGTGGTAAGGATGTAGTTGTGGGAGTTTCCTCTTCAACGTCCTGTTGATTCTGGTCCCCATCCCTAGAGTCTTCATTAGTATCAGATGTGGATTCCTTTTCCTTAGTTTCTTTATCCTTTTCTTTATTTTTATTTTGCTCTAAAATAAACATATGAATGTACTTTGATGTATGGATCGGATACATATATCACATGACAAAGGTATAAGTACTACCCAGGCCCATTCCTACAATATAAGTTATGGATATTGCTCTCGATATTTTGCATTGGTATTCGACTTTGTCTCGTTCAAATACAGAATTTCTCGAGGAGAATATATCCTGTATTGCACTTCAAATCATTTTTATCCTATGATCTTAGGCCAATACATTTTACCTAGGTAAAGATAATTCTTAAGAAATATTCTGTATTCTATGTATTGCTACTGAGAGTGTCCCCTCCGTACCAATGCTCCGAAAACGATCAAAGGGGACAATCTCAGCAGCAATACTGATTGGTAAAGCACAAGAACTGACCAATCAGAGGGCTTCATTTTACAGATTATACAATGATACACTATTGTACATAGTTTACTATGCAGGCTGCTTGTGCTGCAGCTTCACCCTTGCTAACTGAGAAACAAATTCAATGTATACATGTTTATATATCAATAAGTATTAAGAGATTCTAAAAGCAAATTATTCAAACAGGAAGAGGGAAAAATCTAGTTTGCTTTCAATTCATTAGATTTGAGGGGTCAAAATATCTATATGGTATCATAAGATTGTTATGTTCAACAACAGAACAGTATTTTTGTTCGATGTGCAAAACCAGCTGAAAGTCTGATTGTGCAAATCTTAAAATGTTCCATAAAAAATAGAACAAGGCACAGGGTAAACAATATCGTACCTAAAACATAGCAGTGTGGAATCGCAATGACAAGAATTATCTAAAAACTTCCAAAGGAATCCAAGATGGCCACCGAAAAGTTAATCAGCTCTAGAACTTCTTATCATGTAACAATTGAGAACATTTGAAGTGAATCTGTCAAGTGGTTTTCCTGGAATCGCGATGACAAGATTTATCTAAAAACTACCAAGATGGCCACCAGAATGCGAGATGGCCGCTGAAAAGTTAATCAGCTCTAGAACTTCTTACCATGTAACATGTGTAAAAATTTGAAGTAAATCCATTAAGTGGTTTTCCTGGAATCGCAATGACAAGAAAGTGAGACGCCACCTGTCAAGCTGACGACAATATCGTAGATAAAAATTCTAAAATGTTGCACTAAAAATATATAAAATACCCACACAAAAAATCCAGGGAAAAGCATTGTAGCAAAATATAATGCCAAAATAAAGGACATCAAAGGATACCAACGTGTATCACACTGTATAATTATTGTTGACGGTCGAGAAGTTAAACACATGTTCAAACATATATGTACCTGGTAAGAGCTTCTTCCAATTCTTGATGAGAGATTTAGCCAATGAGATTACATTTTCATCAGAGCATGTCTTCCTGAAGTTGTTAACTGTCATACCAACTCTTGTTTTCTGGAAAATAAAATTCACATACAGTAAAGTAGATACAAACTTTCAAAATATTTCATTATCCTTGTGTTCTATAACATAGTGCCACTGGTGTAAAATTATTGAAAACAAACAGTTTAAACAACAGGCCTCCTAGACTTCCAGCAATGCGAACATCAGTTCTGACCTCATCACGAACTACGTTCCTTGCACTTGAACCATGATTCTCACGTTGCGAAAGTGAAATCTATAGTTGCGCACCACCATTTCCCCGCTCCATGAACATATTTGCGAGCACGGATCTCTGTGCGCGAGTGGAGAAATATGTTCGGGAACGAGGAAATGGTGGTGTGTGACTAAAGATTTCATGTTCGTGATGTGAAAATCGTGGTTCGAGTGCAAGGAACGTAGTTCGCGAGGTCAGAGCTGATGTTCGCATTGGTGGAAGTCTAGGAGGCCTGAACAATAAGAATTCTGAGGTACGATGGGGTGACAAAAGTACAACAAATATCCATAATTCACCAATTTATGTCTCATTAACATTACAAATATATTATACCTTATATAAATGATCAATGGTATTTTATCAAATGGTGAAGTTACTGAAGATTCAAATTCTCTTGAAACTGTTGTTAAGTCTCTGAGTAATATATCTGATTGGTAACTTAATTGTATACACAAAAATATATATGTACTAATACTTATCAAACTTGTTCAAAAGATACTGTACATGAACATACTAACACTGTACTTACCTGTAGGACCTCTAGAGTCATTGGAAGTTTCTTGAGAGTTTTCAGGAGATCATAAGCAGAACCGTGCTCCTGCAAATATTTGACGATTAATAAATGTAAGTTAACAGAATCAAATCATTAGATGTAAATAATTACTCCCAAATATGAGGGTATGATGGCTCCAGCTCAAAAGATCTTGTAATTAGCAGCCCTTTCACTATAGAAATAGCAGCCATTCATCAAAATGGCATCCTACTAAACAAAGTGTCACATCATAAGGCAATGTACCATGCTTATGAGTATTCATATATCAAATATGAATAAAATCGCTCCACTACTTTTCAAGTTACAGCGAAAATCTTATAATACCATGTAGCGGCCACCATTTTTCAAGATGGCCACCATGTTTTTTTTAATATTTAGATTTTCAACTTAATCAACATCCTCTATAATTCTTTTGCATTTAAATCATATTAATGTTACAGTTTGATATGATGTACCTAAAAATTCTGCAAAATTGATACTAAAATGGAAATTGTCTTTCGAGCAGAACTTGTACTGCCCAGTGATCGTACAAAATGGATGGAGGCGGATTAGGAGATTTCTGCAAGAAAACTCAACAAATTTGGAAGATTTATTTTTTCAACAGAAAATTTACAACTAAATTGCCAAATGAATAGGCGCAGTGCATGGCAAAATATGTTAGGTATTCTGGTATTTTTTTTTTGAACTGATACCCTTCTAAGATATGAGATTTATTAAAAAAGGCGCATCATCACCAAAGTGCAAAAGTCAATGTTTTTGCTATAAATCGGGCAACAATGGTCTACACGACCTGTAATAAATAGGAATAAGGGACGTTATTATCACAATACTAATGACATTGCTCACTTTTTAAAGTTAGTTTCCATGCATTATACAAAAAATAATCGAAATAAATTAATATTAGATGGAGGGGGGAGTGGATAGACTGTATCCTTCGTCTGAATAAATATTCAGACTGTAAGTCACCTATTGTAAAATGTGGTGTTGTATAAATGTTACAAATAAGTTTGTTTAATGATAGAATGATTACCTTATAAAGAACTCACAATATTATTTTTTCGTATATTGTCCTCTTACTGAAGATATTCATAAAATGTACAGACACTTCTTGTAGCGAAGCCATTGATTAGGTCAAGCCATTTTGGCAATGCCAATTCTCACGATTAACGAGATTTAGCCAGTGACGTCAGTCTATTTGTAAACAAATAACACGTGGAGCGGGAGCAACATTACGGAAGCGTATTGCTAAATTCCATTTGTGCGGGAATTTATTAGATCTAGTCATTTATTATCATTATCCCGATTAATTTTCTTCATTTATAGTAAATAGAGCGGAAATATTCATGAAGAAGGCCGAGGTAATCAAATGTGTTGTCAAAGTTCAAAATTTGCATATCTCGTTTGGATCTCGTGAACTCAAACGTCCTTGACATTGATTTCGCGATCTACTTATGAACACATCCTGAAGTTTCGGTGAGTCTGAACATTTCATTATTTTATATCAACTTGTACCCGCCTTATACAAATATTTTTGCTTCTAGTTTAAGATGAACATCTCTTCAACATATTCACCAATTTTCAAGGTGAACATTCTTATAATAAACGAGAAATTAATGTGCAAAAAATATCACCGCGATTTCCACAGGAAATATATCAATCATAACAGACCGAATATTATATTCGGTCTGTTGGATACATACTAGGGGAGTGGATGGAGGGGGGGGGGGAGATAACGTGTATATAAGACATTCTGAAGAATTCTGCTAAGATCAGTATCGATATGTTGTTGCCTTCATTGTCGTGTTTGGCTGCGCTCCACAATGTAACCTAGCAGGATGGATGACATAGAACAAACTGATACGTAGACACATGGTTACATTTCATTATTTCGTTATTTTAACCATATGAACTTATAAAACTAGAATTTCTGTTTTATCTTTAGCAACCACATACACCAAAGTTCGTTGCATCTCCCCTAATGTCAACATGTGGAGTAATGTCAACATTGTGAAAATTCTGGCTACGGGCCTGGCCCTTCCTTATCAAATAAAACACACTGACAAGCGATAAACTTAACAAAGTTCATAATCAAACTTTGGGCTTCTTCATATTTTCTGTTGTTCCCGGGCCTACGGTGCAAACGCATGGATCCTGTATGACTACAATGTAAAAGATTCAAAATAAACAAAAAATCCATTTTTCGTGATTTCTAAAGATTAGATTTACTCACCGAAGCATTGTCTTCAATCAGTTTTTCAAGCTTTTTACGAATCTTGATGACATCTTCTTCGCAGCTCATATTGGTCTGTATCAGTTATTTAGTCAAACAATGTTAAAATCAACAATTTGCACTAATTGTTCGCTGGATGGAAATTTCTAGTTTTCAATATGGCGGCAATGGGAAGCCTATTCCCGCGAGAATTGGGATAGACCGAGACTTAATTATTGCGGGAAATTTAAAACTTTTAAAGTTTCTGTAGACTTTTCATCGCGACTAAGTTCTAAGTTCTAAGACTAAGTTCCAATTATTCTGGGCTACCCAGGTATTCCGACTATTGACGAATTATTCGCTCAAATGGCAGCCACTCAACCAGAGTCGAGAAGTTCAGCGACTCACAATCATGTACAGGGCTATTAGACTAACTTCACAATCACTATAAGTAAACTCAGAATACTTGGGTCAAGTCTACATCTATCTTAATCCTTGGTAACGTCCTTATTGCATGGGCATCACATTAGTTTTGGAGGCTAGGCTTTACCAAATTCATTTTAAAAATGGTTTAAAGTGTATGTACATTAAAAGCGGGTTAAAATGAAACAGTCTAGCCAGAAGTGTTCCATACAAAAGTCAAACAACCAGGGATCTGACACTCCTCAATGGGTACGGAAGGCCTTTGGGTACGAAGCAACCACATACATAAAATGTTATGACTGGTTTCATTAACTTAATTTCAAGAGTCATATCCTGGAAGAAACAAATTGAATTGAAATCACCGGTGAGTGTCAGATCCCCAGTTGTTTGACTTTTGCACCATGGAACATTCCTGATCAATAGAATATATAAAATATTTAGGCTGGGTCTCAATTTCAGGAATATGCCTCAATTTTTGAAAAAATGGGCTTCGATTTGATAAATGGGTCCATATTTTCAAAAGTTGGGTCAAAATTTACAAAAAGGGCCAACATTTCAGGGCTTACATTTTCCCTGCAAAATTATTTGCTTGAATTCATATAGGCCTATTGAGATTATTTAATTGAATTCATAAATTATGTGCTTTTCACACATAGCTAGCCAAGGTGTGTCAGTATTTCATTTAACTGCAGTGCATTATATCACCAATAACCGCATCCAAGGTCACTCTTTATGTGGCTGTCAAGGTGACAACGTGATTCTACTGATTGAAATTTGAAATTGATGCTTTTCCAACTTGACCCTTGTAAAAAGTTTCATTGAAAATATGTTCTTTTAGTGATTTCGTATATTTTAAGTGACATGGTAGAGAATATTTTGCGAAGCGTGAAAAGAATTTAAGCCCAAGAATGCAATTTGTGGAATGACCATTCCTTATTGGCATTGTTTCCCAAAATTAACACTCAATGCTGTGCATTTCGTGCACATTTTGGAAAGCAACACCTTTAAGGAATGGTCATTCCCCATTGGTTTTAGTCCAGGGCTTAAATCCTTAATTAATATATACGGTCCCCGATGGGTTCAATCATGGGCATTCAACTAGTTGAATGCCCATGGTTCAATCAAATTATGGCTCGACAGGTATCCTAATCTCAGGTCGGGTACCTTTTTTCCCCTTTGGTACTGCAATGGACTCATATTTTGCATTTTGGTATGACAAATTTTGTTTTTTGATGATTTAGCTTTACTACAGGGTCATACCTAGCAATGGTGTGGCTTTGGTCTATTCTTGATATTTTGGTATGGTTACTGAGCCATTTCAATGTTGGTAGGGCAACCCATACTATTGACCAGTAGGCATGGGGACAAATTGATATTTGTTGATCCAGTTTAGGTCAACCTTTACATGAAGAGAACCCAGGGGATACAATCTATATACCTAATGTAGATACAATACTTAGACTCTAAAGTGAATAAACAAATATAGATTTCATTACATGTGTTTATTATATATAATCAATAGTGAAAATAATTTAGACATGTACATGAAATACAATAAGGCCCAACCAAACATGAGGGTTGCCTAATCCTTTTTTCAAGAAAATTCATACCATATTGGTGGGAAAAATTGTGCTAAGGATTTCAAAACATCTTGTGTCTATAAGGCCTGAGTTGAAGTTTAGTTAGTTTGATAAATACTTTTCACCCTGAAGAGGAAAACAAGGACTTTAGTTTCAGATAATGAATGTGGATGACTCAATCCGAATAGCAGTTTTAATTTGTGCGGCCAATGTTGATGGATGGACGGACCAAAAAGGTTGGCTCATCCATAAATCTAATGTGCCATATGATATAAATTGAAATATATTCATTAGAATTAATTGATCGGACGGATTTTCTACTACCAGAATTTCTAGCAATAATACCCCTTGTTAAATGTTCATGGTTACCTCTTTTAAAGGCTGACCAATCAGATGAGTCAGCCTTTGAAAGAGTAAGTTCATGGGCATTAGGATATTATTAATTTCAAAATCGTAGACATGGGTAATTTTTTCAAATGAAATTATTGATTTTTGTCAACAAAAGTGTGATCCAAGCAATTCTTGAAATGTCTCAGTAGTGACACTCATTTTCTAATAAATTCTATTGATGATGATATAAAGAAAAATCACTGAACACACTCTAAAACACATGTCTGATTTGAATTATGCATTTCCGATGGAAACAAGTTTAATATCACAAATGTATGGAATGTCTCACATTTTAATTGTCTTTACAAGACAGAATCCTATAAGGATAGTAGTGTCAGAATTCTGTAATTGAACAGATCTACAGTTAGTTTAATTAAAAAAAAAAAAATTCATCCTACAGGACCATATCGATTATAATATACTGTTACAATGCTATCATTAAGACACCAACTAATATAATATTAATTTATGATCTAGAATATCATGATCAATACATTAAGTCAAAACATAATTTTATATTTCTACACAGAAATGATTTCATAGTTATTGTGATATTCATAGGATATCGTGTCAAAATAAAACTGGTATTCTTGAAACCAATGATTAAGAGACTTGCTTCTTGGCTCAAAACGAGGCTGGTAGTATCATGATACACTCATGATATGATTTTCATCCACACATGGATATTGATATCTGCACTCTCTCACTACACTCACTTGTCAAGATATCACATCTATTCATGGATAAAAATATCACTCATAAATCATAGAATATCCTAAATATATACATGTATATATGTACAGGTTTGTACAAATAGTCTCAGATTTTGCAAGTTCACTTATAATTTGAACTAGAGATTTTGCAAGAAATATTCCCAACCTTACAATTATCTTTAAGCAAGGATCAAGCGGCCATGAAAGTAATTTCAGAAAAAATATTGATATTTTTCAAAAAGATAAATGGATTACGAAATCTCTCTATCACCTTTCAACTGAACTTATTTTATAAGTGAAACTGCAAAATAGCAGTCTAATGTGATTTATATCATTTTTCAAATTCATCTAAGGCACCAATAAGTGCTGAGCCCTATCTTATGGCTAAATCTTTTCTAAGACCAGATACATTTTGTGATTTTCGCAGCAAATGGAAAAAATAGCTGTATAGTGGCATAATAAAATACTCTTGTATTCATTATTGAGCCAAGGAGTCCTGCACCAGGCCTTAAATTCCATCATGATACATTTCCTTACCTTGTAGTTGTAATGAAGATGTGCATATTATCCAAGTCAAGACCATAGGCTAAAGAGCAATAGAAATAATGTTTAAATAAAGATGGCAGTAGAATCAATCTGTTTTAGATAATATTCTACCACTGCTGCCATCTTTATATCAGCCTAAAACCTATGGTTGAGACCCGAGGACTTGAAACAAGACTATGTCGATACATATTATGTATGTGAAAACTGCATAGTTTAAACACCATTAAAACAATTGATATAACATGTGTAAGAACAGGCAGTCCCTTGCATGTACAATGTTTTGAGCTAAACACCTATCAATCATACTTTTGACTAAGTCAACTACAAATGTATATTACTGTTACATAGAAATTCAGTATCTACCCTTTGGCTCATTAACTAGTACACCAATACTCTCTGACTAGTGACTAGTATCATTTTCAATCATTTGACATCATTTTGTTCAAACTACCTGGGAACACCTGAGCTCTGAACTAATAATATGTTTACTCATTCACATATTGTAGCTAAATCTATGTGGCTTTGAGAAGAAGAGATACCCCTTAGTTCATGGTTAAATTCATAATTACCACTTCTGGGCATCACCTTTGTTTCTCACAAAATTTCCACCATCTTTTATCTGAATATCACTCATCGATGTGATGTTTTAATCGGTAAACACATATTCCTTACATCTCTTTTATCTTGATGTGATATCTTCAGATAATGAAATAACAAGCTATGATATTGCTTAACACACCAGAAATACAAGCATATCAGCAACTATAGTGGTCATCATGAAAATATGACAATGATTGAAACAATTGCATATTTGGGATACCTGATGAGTACATGTTACATGTACAGACATGTAAGAATGGCACCATCCTGTGGGCTGAAAAGGTGAGAATTTATGATAAATAAATTATGAGATATTTATCATGGATGAGTAACTATACCCTAATTAATCAAAAAGAATAACTTCAATTGCTTATAATAAAATAATTATCTGAGTTAAATCAAAAGTGTTAACAAACATGACAGTCCGCATTTGTGCAAAAATAACATCCAGCAAAAACAGTAATACCCAGTAAGCTGAAACTTGCATTGCGTCTAACAAAAAGATAGATATCTCCAAATGTTGGAGCTGGGACTAATAGTGTAAATAACAAGTCAAGACCCCATGAAATGGATATGAGTATTGCGTCAGAAGAATGGGAGCTTTTATTTGTCACAAAACTGTAGGTGGATGACTTGTAGATGGATAATTGGAGATTCTATAGGTTCACCATGTCAGCCAAAAAAGTACCATAAAATATATGGTACATCTGATAGTCAAGAATGGATTAATATAAATCTAAACTGAACAAAAATGTGGCATCCTACACCAAGATCCCCTATTACAATAATCACTGTGTTTTGTCATGAACTGGTATGGTAGCTTATTTTTCTTTTTCTTGAACTTCTTAGGGTTCAGATAAAAGGTTTAGGCAAAGGTCATGTAAAAATATCATAATATTAATCACAGAAAAATTACAAAGTGTATTTTGATGACATCCTTGTTATGTCTTTATGGGGTCAGAGGGGGTCTTGAATGGATGGTACATTTGGTTAAAACATACTTTACAAAAAGCTATGTTCCTAACCAGGAAAGCGAACCTTCAGATAGGTGGCTAGGGGCATGCTGCTTATTGGACATATTGTCTAAATGTCATGGCAGTGCAATGGATATCCTGTACTAAAACTGGGAATAAGTGACCCAATTATACCTTCAGAGTGAATTAATTTTAAAATAAAGTGTGTCTTATGGAATGTCTTTTTGTTGTCCTTCATGTGAACATCATGTCAACACATTACACTGGAATAAAATGTCTTCTCTTTAAATGTTTCACAAGGGAAACCCATTTCTAATTTCCTTTCACAACTCCAATCATAACTCATCATAATGGAGAACAGAATTTGACATTCAACGACACCTCACAATGGCCTGCTATTCCTTCGCTTCAGGAATTTCATTGTCATCTACAATCAGTGAATGAATTAGTCCTTCTCTCCTGTTTCCACTAGATATGGCTTTTATATAAGCACTTTTGTTGCCTAATGTAAAATGTGTCTCTGTGCCGTCATCTACAAATTCACCCTGGAACAAAACACATAGCATGTTATTTATTGGAGGTTTAGGATATCAGACAGACCCACAAATATGAAAAGTTAGGTACAAGATTAGATAGATATAGGCCTATCTGATATAAAACATCCCAATGGATGCATCCAATACGTATTTAGGAGTTGAGTATTAAGAATGTCTGAACATAGAACAATAAATGCCCCAATTGATTTCAATTGACTAACTGAATGGCAAGAATCATAAACAAAATCAAAAATGAACATTTAAACCTACAATACTGATAATGAGAGACAATTGAGCTGCAAATGTAGTTGCACGACAATGTGCTGTAAATGTAGTTGCATGACAATGTGCTGTAAATGTAATTGCATGACAATGCATGAATGGTACACGATATGGAATTATAAAGCAATAGATGTCAAATTGACAAATCATTAGTTATTAGTCTAAAAACAGATCTCAAACAATGTAGGTAAATGCGTCATAACAATCACATTAACAAATAATAAATATCCCACTTTATTACAGGGTGAGCCAAAAAAACGTAACTGAAACAAATGTTAATACCTTAGCTTATATTTGCGAATGTAAATGGTGGCTAGCACCTACCAGATTAACATTAAAGCAACTCATTTAAATATGAATACTGTAGATTGGGTTAATTTGGCGCCCGCTTTAATTTGGCGAATTTGGCGAAATTGAAAAATTCGCCAATATAAATCTTCGTCAAAATTTAGAATGAATCCCCGGGAATTATCTAGGGTATTTCGTCGAGTGTATTTAGGTCACTTCCGGTTGAGTTTTTTCCAAAAATATGAAAAAATGTCTCTCATATATTGGCTCAGAACTGGTCAGTCACTTATTAATACTCAGGGAAAAACTAGAAAGGAAAAGTGCAGTATAGTAGCAGCATCAATCGAGGTGCAAAATGTAAAGGATGATCTCACAAAAATGTACAAACGTGGTGAATATTGCCAGTGGTCCTCAAAAGAAAAAATTAACATAAAATTCGCAAACAACGCGTAAGTTAATTAAATTTTTTTTTGCATATCTGCCAAATTAAATAGCTGCCAATATGCCAAAAATGGCAAAATCGCCAAATTAAGTAGCGCCAAATTAACCCAATCTACAGTAGTACCTGCCACTATTCCATTCATATTCAAATTAGTTGGTTAAAAAATAGTAGGCTAATCTGGTAGCCACTAGCCGTTGTATTCGTGAATACAAGCTTAGTCATCCAGTATGGGTTATAACTCATATTTGGCACAATTAAACTTTGTTCAATGTTGTTTCATTCAACTAAGTTTCATTGGTCAATTTCCAATAGTCATGATGTCATGGCAATGACACAAGATATCTGTGAATGTGTAGTCAGAAAATTTCACTTGATGTGTTCAAGTTTGCCTCAAAAGTCAAGACGGGCATTTTGAGCATGCCTTGTGAAATAGCCATAAAATTATCACCTTTTGGAATAGACCAATGAAATAATGGTTGAATGAGAGATCATTTTACAAGGTTCAACTAAGCCAAATATAACTTGAAACCCATACTGAATGACTGAGTTATTAAGATTTGTTTGGGTTACCTTTTTTGGCTCACCCTGTATGAGTAAAAATAACACAATTGTACCAACACTAAAATAATAACTTTATATCAAATGAATGTAAATATTTAAAATGATTTCCCTTTGATGAAAATATGATACAAAATGAATAGTATGAGGTGAATGGGACAACTTGGTAAAGGGTTGAGTACCAAAATTATATGCTTAAAATAAACATGTATTTCATTAAAAGTGAAATCCTGGGAGCAGAATTTCCCTCTCCTGGAATAAGCCAGACTCAGGGTATATGTACAGCATGGGAACACCTCTCTCAGGTGAACACTTCAAACACAGAACATTTCATATGGCTTCAGTTTTGGATGTTATTTTACTTTTATGAGGTGAACAGTTGAACACTTTCAGGTGATTCTGACTAGAATGTTCACTTTAGACAGGTTTTACTGCATTCCATATCATGAGCTATTACACTTATAACTTACCGTTGACTCTACTCTTTGACCATTCACCCAGACATCTAAAGTATCTTTTTCTGGAAATACAGCATAATAGCTATTTAATTACATACAGAATTTCTCATGCAGCAATCAGTTTTAAAAGATTGGTTAAGATTGAACCCATAGTCAATAGTCAATACAAAACATGGGGAGAATGGGAAAGCACTTATATAATTCAATACTTAGATCCGATCAAGCTTCAGCAACATAATGAAATAGAAATGATAATAGAAGGGGCATTGTTTTAGCACATAATGGAGAACTTGATGGGGTATTTAATAGCTATAGAAGAGAAAACAATACACTGTATGAAATATGGAATACCCAACCTTTACTATAGTAATACTATTAATCATTTTATCCGATAATGCATTTTGATCTGACACCTTAATAACATTCACAATAGATCTACATTATCTGATAAATATGATTAATAATAAGAATATATCTTTGGCGATATAGAGCATTGTTTTACTAAGTTCAATAACATGCCTACCAATAACTGAACTAAGTCGTGAAATCTAAATCAATAAAAGAACATGATCTAGAGAATACGCCATCAATAAATTATATCTTAATGTCATTTTACACAATGTATGTAAGCCTTGAATTATATTATTGGTTACTTTACAATCTATCTATGGCGTGACAAAAATTGTTTTATGCTTCAGACTTACTAACATGATGCAATTTCATTAATGAACAAGTTATAGTATGCGTCAAGGTCTAGATGTTTTTGGTCAATCATTTTATACTGACAGTACGAAACATATAAAAGAGATAGAAGGATGCACATTTTCCAAAGTAAATTTGTATGTCTTAAATTTGTGGGATTGGGCATCAGTGAATTCATCCTGCATGCACAATTTAGTTATAAACTAAGAAAAAAACGAAGCTCTTTTTAAAAAAGCGAAGTCGAACAAATGCAAAGGGTACACTGAATTGTGGCACTTTGATCCAAATTACACTACTGACAAGATGACAAATGATCATCTTTTCCCTCCACAACCCTGTTCTGATGGTTGAAAGATGGGTGGAAGGGGTAGGGATAGAGAGAAAAGGGTTATGGAAGGGGAGGGGGGATGTAGTACATTGATGCAAGGTTATTTTATGCAAGGTTATTTTGATATTTCTTTCTCCAATCAAGCTTTTCATGAATCGGACTATATTCCCTGCTAAACATATTTGTTTTGTATGCGCGCTTAAATATATTTCTGTATTAACGTTCGCCATTAAGTTGTGAAAAACATCGTCAGCTTAAAGTCTCCATAGTCACTGGGGGGTATCGTGATGCAACAACACCGTGTTGTTGCATCAATATGGCCAGACTTCCGGTGATAGATTTTCGTACGATGTTTTGTTTTCCCAATTTACACCCATTTCTAGGACGAGTTGCTCAATAATCATACACATGCAGTTAGCACATGATCTATATTTTAAAAAACTGTCATTGGTATACATGTAGCATCATCAAGAAGCGATAAATTCGTGGTTTTAATTCCTCACTATTGATGCAACAACACCACTCTGTTTCTTATCGATGATGCAACAACACCAATGTGCTGATGCAAAAACGCCAATATAATGTATCATTGAACAACAAGAGAAACTGTTTTATGTTCTGTTTACAGGTGTAGGTCGGGACATGAATAAAACGCGTGAGTCAGTGGTCCATGGACGAAACGTATTTTGTTTGGTTTCTTTGTCTATATCAAAGTTAAAAAGATATACAAGGCAAACTAAATAAAGTACAGAATCCTCGGGAGGCAATCTCATTGATATTGTATCTGAAAAAATAAAGATTATACATTTTCTAAATTAAATGCCCTTGATTTACCGTATGGAAATTGCTTACAAATAACTAATATAATTTTGGAAAGACAACAGATATCAGTCATTTTGTGTTGTTAGTACCTCAATTGAAATACTCAATTCTGATTGGTTGATGAGCGGGCAACAAAATGTATTGTTAGTACCTCAACTGAAATACTCGATTCTGATTGGGTGATTAGCGGTCAAAATTATGTACTGTTGACCGCTACTAGGTACTGTTGACCGCTACTTCTGAAAAAAGTTTCATGACGTCACAAAAAAACATGGAAGACGGACATTTTGTAAATGTTGATGAAAATGACTTTACTAGGCGACAAGTATAGCAAAAATACAAAAAAAATTAACATTAATTCACTAACGAGTACGCCGTGATGTGCCAAATACTATGGCTGGCCATCTGGACCAATGTATCGTCATACTTTTAACGCCGTAAAATCTACTTTTAACGTCGTAAAAACGATTTTATACGCCGTAAAGAATTACTTTTACGCCGTTAAAAACGATTTTGTACGCCGTTAAAATTCATTTTGAACGGCGTCAAAAATAATTTTTAACGCCGTAAAAACGATTGTATACGCCATAAAGAATTACTTTTTACGCCGTTAAAAATTACTTTTTACGCCGTTAAAAATTATTTTTTACGCCGTTAAAAATTATTTTTTAGGCCGTTAAAAATTACTTTTTACGCCGTTAAAAATTATTTTTTACGCCGTTAAAAATTACTTTTTACGCCGTTAGAAATTATTTTTTACGCCGTCAAAACTGATTTTTTTACGCCTTTCGAAATTGCGAACGTACAGAACATTGTTAATCATTTGCGAAAAAATGTTTAAACAATGAAAACTCGATGTTTATCAAATTCCCGAGATTTCCATACAACCAAATGTGTCTGGCAAATAAAAATTCCAATATAAATGATAAATGTGACATGTAAAGTGACAGAAAAATAGGGTTTTGGATTTATATCAATCAGTCGGTAAGTCGAACATACACGTTTGTTTGTTCAATGAATACCAGATTGTAACGCTGGTTTTAATTGGCTGCCAGCTATACTTTTTAACGGTGTACAAAATCGTTTTTAACGGCGTAAAAAAGTAATTCTTTACTCCGTATAAAATCGTTTTTACGGCGTTAAAAATTATTTTTGACGCCGTTCAAAATGACTTTTTACGCGTACGTAATTATTTTGACGCCGTAAAAAAATCAATTTTGACGGCGTACAAAACCGTTTTTAACGGCGTTAAAAGTAATTCTTTACGGCGTATAAAATCGTTTTTACGGCGTTAAAAGTATGACGATACATTGGTCCAGATGGCCAGTCATAAAATACAGAGTTAAGCTTCTTGCACTGTCTCCATATTTTCTAAAAACAATATTGCTAACGTGGTTCGGAGAAAAGGTTGTGAAATGAAGCCATGCCGATTGATGATCGTCGTCTATATGTGTATTATTAGTTTACTCGGACTAACAAAACATTCGATCAACCGTCAAAATCATATACCTCGACTGTAAACCTTGAAACTACTGTTGACCTCGACCTTCGGTCTCTGTCAACAGTATTTTTTCGGTTTACAGTCTCGGTATACAATTTTGCCGGTTGGCCTCTGGGGAGGTCAACAATTGTAAACTGTTGACCACTACTAGGTACTGTTGACCCCTATTTTTGAAAAATTGTTTTTTTAATGTTGAAATTTTTTTAATTTTGAAAAAATAAGTTGTGTAAAAATTTAATTTTGAAAAAATAAGTTGTGTAAAAAATTACGAGTATTTGACGGTTTGGGGATTTTTTGCTAAAATATGATACCTTTACTTATCAAATATGTTCACGTGATATTCGATTATATATTCGTCCAATTATTATATTATTTGGACTAACAGAACAATTGTTAACCTCTCTTTTCGGCCAACTGGCAAAAGTGTCCTCGACATCTGGTCTTGATCAACAGTACTTTCAACGTTTACAGTATCGTATCGGTATACAATTTTGCCAGTTGACCTCAAGAGGGGTCTACAATTGTATATTGTATATCCTTTGTTATCCCACCCAAATTATGATGTCATATATCAAGTTGAAGAGTTGTATACGCTGCTCAGGAGTTTACGCTATCCAGGAGTTGTACATCGTTTTCAAGAGTTGTATAGGATGAGTGTTGGTTTAATGATATTGCAGTTATACAATGCTATTATATAAAAGTTATTTACTGAGAGGGACTCAATGTTGGTTTTATTTCGAGAGATAATATGATATTTCCCGAGGGCCCGGGATATCTGGGATAACTGTACCCCTATCAATTTACCTTTTTGGGCCCTAAATCTTATCACTTTTGTTTACCTTTTTACTCAGTCGGAGAGAAGGAATCCAAAGAGAGCAATAATTCTACATGTGCGTCGTGCAAGATTTCCATTAAACGTGTAACTAAACGGCCTCTCTAATAAAGTCAATTAGACGTTTTTACACGTTGGCTCTCCAAATTGTAGGAAATAAAGAATCATGTCATATTATATCATAGATGAAGCAATCATCCCATCAACATCAGCTCACGAATGTCAGAGTTTATCACTGTTCCACAGATGGATGACAGATAATATCATGATAATATCCAATAGCTCATCATGTTTACCGAGAACGAAAGATGTTTGTCCACCATTTTGAATGATACTAACTGGAGTCAGGGCCATCAAGCTATGGAACAGTGGTTTATGAAAATAGATTGGGTTACTAAAGCTTGCCATGTTAAAGGCGATTGAACTATGTTATAGAATAACGTCCAGTACATTATAATATGTAAAAGTATAAATTTTGAAAATACATATAAAGGATCTTCGCCCACAGGACGTGTATTTTGAATGCCTTGAGAAGAACGCAAATATGGGTAAGCTAATTGATAACGGTATTGCAATAGTAGCATTTAAAAATCTGTTCCTCTCGAGATTTATGGTCTTCTGAAATTATATTATTAATTGGTGTTGCTGCATCATTGCTCAAATCTAGAGGAGTGTTGTTGCATCTTCGGTTTGGTGTTGTTGCATCAATAGTGAGGAACTAAAACCGTGAACTTATTGCTTCTTGGTGATGGTACATGTATACTAATGACAGTTTCTTTAAATATAGATCGTTCGCTAACTGCACGTGTATGGTTATTGAGCAACTCGTCCTAGAAATGGGTTTAATAGGGGAAACAAAATATCGTACGAAAATCTATCACCGGAAGTCTGGCCATCTTGATGCAACAACACGGTGTTGTTGCATCACGATACTCCCCAGTGATAGTGGGATATATTCCCCATTCACCAAAAGTGCAAATTTAAATCTTATTATCAGTTGCAGCTAGTGGGGTATATAATACTTGACTTATTGACCTTAACCCAGAATCAACACAAAACACATTTAGCTTGAAAGGAGTACTTGGCTTATCTCATTGCTCCAGAATCAATACAAAACACATTTAACACAATAAAATATGATTTTAACTTGAAGCAATTCCCCTAAGGAGCATATTCCACTGAACAAAACATTTTATCAAATCTCTAAAAATAACCAGGCACTAATATTGTCTCCTTTTGGCAAAATTCTACACGCATGATGTGACAATCAGATACTATATTAGAAATTATCTTACACTTAGTGAACTTAATGTATAATAACATCGTGAAATTTATTTTTCAATGATATTATACATTTAGTTCCCTAATTAAAGGATAATAAGAACATCTTATGATTTTTTTAGAATATCATTTTAATCTGCTCGGTGATATTAATGTCAATATCACCCTGTAGATAAAAATGATATTCCTCAAAATCATTGTATATCCTATAATTCTCAAGTAGATATCCTCTGACAGTTTAAATTCAATGGGCATCTTGAAAATTTCATCTTGAATAACGAGATGGATAGCAGATGGACGAACAGACAGACAGACTTTTCCCTCCTGAACTAAATGTTTGAAAGGATAATGGGCACTAAGAGGCGTTAAGTACAAATCAAATATTAGCAATTGAAATAATAAATTAATACAAATATTCCAAGTTTCCTGATTTCTGGTACGCAAATGAATAATCTATAATAACTTATTTGACATTAACTTATTCCCAATATACCATGTTAATAGTAGGGCAAGTAATGGAATTGCATCTACAAACCTGCAAACTTATAAGTTGATTTGAAAAACAGTTATTTTTACCTATTTATGTATCATTTCAATACTGTACTACGGGTAAATTTTGACGCAATAAAATTTCGCGATTTTTCAAAATTGCAATTTTGCGGCTATTTAATTTCGTGGATTTGAGTTGATAACATTTCGCGAATTAATTGCACAAGTTGAATTTTTTCCGATTACCGTGAATCAATGCGTATCTGGCTATTTTAGCCCGTTCAGAATCTGAATAATGTTTGTATTTCCCACGTTTAGGGCATTTATTTGAATATTCTTGAATGTTTTTTTCAACTTCAATTTGTAGGATATCATTGTCGTCAACAGTTCTTGCCTTTGTTGGCCTAATAAGCCAATGTTAAGTAAATGTACGCGATTTTACTACATTCGCGAACAAAGCAAAATTAAATCGCACGCGAACAATACCCGGAGTACAGTATATAAACATTTAATAACATTTCAAATATGCATGAAAAAATTGCAATGATAAGTTTACATGATATGATTTATCCATGTGGCAGTATTGTTGAGAGACATTTATATGTGTTCATACAGGCAACAAACAGATGAACAACAGAACGATTGCAATAGATGAGACACATTGTAACCTGATATAATATACAGAAGACCTACCTAGCACCACTCTTGTTGGCTCTCCTGATACTGTTAAAGTCCAAGTCTTCATAATCTTCGACTGATTTTCTGAGAACTTTTTTAAAGGTTTACCATTCACTTCGAGTGAATATTCATATGCGAATCCACTGATGGCTTCAACTATTATAGAACACTTGGCTTTGCCAATATTAAAATGTTCCCTACCCACCAACTTAAACATCCAGTCTCTACGGAGTATTTCCTGAAATAAAAAAATGCAATTAATTTAAGCTAAGAACTACAAGAAGACAGTAATTTCATGAAGTGTTTTCTCAAAGACATTAAGGTGTTATATTCTCCTGGGCCCTGAGTCAATAGGCCCATGAAGTATGTGTTATACAAAGTTCAGAATATAGAAGATCACTTAAATCGCAATGTTTTCCGAATTTAGTCTAATTCGGACATCCACAATCCTTAACAACTTGTTCCAGGAAGTGAATATCAAATGTTGCATCAATAAATGACAACATTATTCCATTTTCTCCCTAAAATCATGAAATAAAGTGTGGTATGAATACACAGCACACTTTTAGGTTTTGAACATGGAAGCCGAAGATTAAAAAATGGGCCAGATACAAAGTGTTCACGCTGAGAGATGTTCAGATTAGAGAGGTGTTTGGATATACAGGTTTTACTATATGTGCAACAGGCCTGTCAACTGTCCCGCAATTTGCGTATTTGTCACGCATTTGCTGAAGAATTTGAAGTCACGCCAGTTATTTTTGCGTGACAGAAAATGTCACGCAAATACGCATTTTACCTGGTAATTGTCAAGCAAAAATATTTATGTAGAAAAATTTCTAAAAAAGATCGTCTACACAGCAAAAATACGAACGCCGGAAAAAAATGTACGCATTCCGTTCGGACTTTTCACGCGAATTACGTTTATGTCACGCATTCTGTTCGAAATTTTCCGTACCTACCCCTCCCCCCCTTTTAAACCAAAGTGTTCAACATTTGGAACGAGGTGTTCAGATTTGGACCAAGGTGTCCACATTTTGAGGGGAGGTGTTCAACATTTCCAAGTCACTCATGTTAGGTGTTCCCAAGTTGACAGGCCTGGTGCAAGTCCATATATGAAAAAGGTAAAACGTTGTGTATTAAATTAGATTATTCATTCTCTGTTGTCTCCATGCTAATATACTAAGTGAGTGATTATGATGAAGGAAATAAACTTACGATTCCATCTGCTCTTATGACTCTCTTTCCAGAAGTTGTGCCATGTTCAAACTCAACTCTATGTATTCCATCACTGAGGGAGACGTCCCATAATGCAACCAAATCATTAGACATATTGGAGTTCACTTCGGTACAGTATTTCCTTCAATTTCAATACTGAAATGAGAAATTCCTCATTTTTGAGGCATCTTTGTCTGGACTGTGTTAGCTATAGTCACACTGGCGGATCCAGGGCTGCCCATAGCCTCCCCCCAAGAGAAGGCCCAGAAAATCTTTTCGGGCCCATAAAGATTTCTGGGCCTTTTGCTGGCCTCTATTTGTGGGCCATTTTGGGTCTTGAAATGTGCCCCCCCCTTTGTTAGCTTCTGGATCTGCCAGTGAGTCAAGAGTAACTTTCAGTAACTTTAACTATATAAGTTGTCTCTTCAGTAAAATCCCCTTTGATCTGTACATTTTCACACCACTCAATCCAGTAAAAATCACACTCTTGGGTAAAAATCACATACAGGTAGATCATGAAGCTGCATCTAAATCACACCTTACAATAATCATCCTAAATGTAGTCTATCAAATTGAATCAAATAATAACCTACCCTATTCACCCTTTTCCTACCCATTTGAAGATAAACACAACTTGACGAGAAGAACCAGTCTATTTGTAACATTTCCATTTCAATTTTATTGGTACGTGTGTACTATATCAAATCACAGAGAGTGCGTAATTCCATAAACCTAAACTATGGATTTTGGTCAAAAGTCAAAATAATGCTGGAATTATATACATGTATGAATTAGTGTTGTCGCGATTAATCGATACATCGCGATAGACATCGCCAAAGCTGGTTCTGGCGATGCATCGATGTCTGAAACAGAACATCGATGTTTTTAAAAAATTTTAATTTGCTAAAAATCACCCTTTCTTATCTTATTTGGACACAAATTGCTTACCTTTTTTCATGTCTTATTTCATTTTCAAATGTTTTCTGATATTCTTTCGCTTTAAAACTGTTTTAGCTAGTCGAAATGAACCATTAATCTAAAAAAATAACTTTACTTTCATTTCACCGTTACTATGTTCCCGGATGTACCAGCGTACTCTTATTAATTTGTTCTGTTCGATATTTTAGTGCATTAGCGTTCGGTATTTCAGTGCACTTTTCTCGAACTTTTTCTCGATGTACATCGTGATGTGCATCGATGTTTACTACTGAAAATTGCCGATGCATCGATGTACGATTATGGCACATCGCGACAACACTAGTCATTTCGACAGTTCAAATTTAGCATTGAAATTGGTTTGGGTGTATAAAAATGACCATAATTCAAAGAAAAAGAACTAAACTGGACCAGTGGATGTCAAGGGGCATTTTGTGTGCAGTCTCACGAACAACCTACACCAGTACCCTAAAAACACAGATGATGTGAAACATATTTTGCTAGCTAAATATACTATCAAGAATAAGTAGGTCAATGAACTAACAAAATAGAGCCTTCATTTTGCCAAAATCTATCGATTTTTTACTGGATCATATAGTAAAATGTACCAAGGATTTTACAAAGAATGCTATCCTACATGTGCACATGTAATCCAAAATATGCTAACATTCAATTTGGATCTGAAATAAAAATGCATTTTCCCATATAATATTGGTTCTTATAAATTACATGTACTTATTTTTAAAGTGATTCGGAATCTGATTACATTTACAATAGATCTGTCATGTGAAATATGGCTTATCTCCTCGTCTGACCACCTCTACTCATCATGCTACAAGGAGGATTGGAAGCCAGGGTTACAAATAGATATTCTTGGCTTTGAATAAAAACCTCCTACCTCATACCCAACTACCCAACTACGTGGAACATGATACAGTCATTGACAGGGTTCAATTTTAAAGATTATTAAATCTCAAAATAGCTCAAATTATTAACATTTATACAATTCCGGCTACATTTTACGACTAGACAGATGAAAGATCTATAAATAAAGGCATGTGGATGCATTTTAATGTGTTATGACCCGAGGGCGCAGCAGGGGAATAAATACCGCGAGCATAGGTCCAACAAGCCAGATAAAGAAATTGAAAGAAAGTGTGCTTAATTTGATGCCCCGAGTAGGAATCGAACCCAGCTGGGATGTAGTAGCAACTTGCTATCAAGGGTCGTTACAAATGCATCTATAATTCATCATAAACTAAGGGCACATGTAGGCGGGTATGAGGTAGGAGGTTTTTTATACAAAGCCGATATTCTTTAATCTCCAATCGATGTGGTAGTTTCTAATCCTGCCTGTATATTTCTACGGCTGCAATAAAGGAGAAAGGCCGATATTCTTAATTCGGAATTTTGTATTCATAACATGACTACATAATAGTGGTTGGAAGACTGACTCGTGTACTCGAGTTTTACTCGCATTTGTCCTAAAAATCAATTGATCGAGTTGAAAACTTGAACTCGCGATTTGAAATTTTTACCAAAAAAATATTTTTCACTCGTTTTCACCTTACCTTGACTCGCGATTCGTCTCTCCTATTCGCAATTTCCATGCTTATAGTTGTAATGTTCTGCTTAATCTGTATAGAATACAACTTATTTTCTATTTAATGCCATGTGCGGAAGACAAACATACTCGGATTTTATTCTGCGTTCGTTATTTTTATGCAAAAGTTTCATTTCCGGTTTGATCCATTCTGGGAATATCCAACAGCCGGGAATTTTAAAATATTTGTCTACCGCGGTGGAACTTTCTGGATTGACGAAGTTTGTTTTCACTATTTATTCGGTAAGTTTTACTATCTATAGGGGACTAGGGGTGAACTTTAACGATTTATAGGGATGTGCAATACGATTTAGACAATAAAAAGTATAGAGGCACTTGAAAGACTTGATCAAATTGATGAATTCTGCCGCTACTTGGGAAACTGAAACCGGAAGTAACTCAACTAAGTCAAATCGCGATTATAATCGTGGTTTTTCATGGCCCACTCGAGTGGAGATTTTCAGGCGAGTCCGACCACTACTACATGACCCATATATGGAACAGAATATCGATTGGCGTGCCTGAAAATCCTCCTTGGTCATGCTATATACATTTCAAAATCACAACACAAAAAATACTTGAAGTCAGTCAAAAGTGACAAACTGAGAAATTAGGCTATTCAAGTAAACAAATCAAATGAAGTCCTAAAGTTGCATTCCAAATGTCCATATATCATGGATATTCCACTCCGTAGATAATTTTCTAAAAGACACATATGACTTTAAATTAATATTCATGATATTAGTTTCTATCGTGAGCACACCAATACGTTGAAAACACCTAAATTAGGGTTAGAACATACCTGACCTGCTTCTTGCTGCCAGGCACCTTGTCAACATACGGGTACTTGGTAGCGTTACGAAGTGAAGATTCCAATCAAAATAAATTGTTGTGTCTGCAGAAAATGGATAGGACGATTTTTTAAAATTCTTAAGTGATTTGAGACTCATTTAAATGCTAGAAATGGGGTAGGAACAATATTAGGTATGCTTTCAAAAGTAGCAAAAATAAAATTTACCAATCAAACGAATAGAAATATTCACTCCTGTAGTAACAACAAATATGGCCGCCCGAGAAAAGAAATCAAAGCGGGTATGTTTTCCATTAAATGGGACCATTAAGCTTAGTCTTCGCATCAAAAAGATTTATATTTGTATGTTGGTAATATGAATTGAAGACATGAAAAGTTTTGAAACAGTTTGCTTCGTTGTTTCTGTTCTAGACGTAATATAGCCCCTTTCTCGGATATTTTTCAAAAAATAATTTGAAAAGTTCATAGAATCGCGCCAAAAACTTGTAAAAGAAAAGAAGAGGAGAGAAAGCCTCAGCGCTTTCTAGAGATGTTTGTTTGTTTGTATCCTTTTATGCGTTATAATGCCGCTAAATGGTCTCGTGGTGCTTGTTTTTCACCCGTGCTTTCACTTGTGCTTATATTTTCATAAAGTCTAAAATCACTTTTATACCTTAAGTCTAATATATACAGTTTTATAATGTGCTCATTAGAATCTTCTGGTTTGCCTTATGTAGCTGCAAAAGGCATTATATAATTTCCTGTTTGACGATTCCGACAGATTCATGTTTAGTTCGCACGGGTGCGTAAATCAAGGGGAGGGTTTGTGTTTTCCCCGAGGAGAATGCTATCTACTTTCAAGTGGAGCGCTAGCCTTTCAGTTTCGAAGAGTTTACATGAAATTATGTAGTGGTCCACAATTTCTGGTTTATTACAGAGTTCACAGAGGTTTGTTGTACTTTGGTATATTTTGGCTTGGTGGCTATTGAGTTGGGTATGTCCACTTATGAGCTGGTTGATGATGCAGGAGATTCTGCGGTTGGGAGATACAATTTTGGTTTTAAAGCCAACCTTTGTTATTACTTGTGAAATGGCCCGAACTTTTTTAAAGTTAGAATACTGTCTTTGACATTTGTTTTTGATTGATTGGTGAATTATATTATATGCTTCGCTTTTGGTAATACTGATGGAATAAACCTCAAGCTGCTCTGCCAAACTTGCTGCACTTTTTGCATACTTATCAGCTACTTCATTGCCAATGATGTTAACATGACCTGGTACCCTGGCTGCTTGTAAAAATTCCAACCTAAGCAGCAGAGCATAGACTTCTTCTAAAAAGTTATTACCCTTCGCTGATACAGGTTTGTTCAGACAAATTGGATCTGTTAATAGTCCTTCCAGGTATATTATGGCTGCTGAGCCTGCAGGCCCTTCTACAGATAACGTCTCTTACTCCCAGGGGAAATAAATAATTTGGGTAGAAATGTGCAGCATGGGCAATTTTGGCTTAGGGCATAAACCATGGAACCTGGCCAATTTGAGGAAAATTTGTCGAAGACTAGAGAGCCTTTTTTAAGTCAAAAATCAGTTTTTCTACAAAAAATCATAAATATTAATTAGTAAAATCAGTTGGCGAGGTCTGGGACAAATCACTCAAAAAGTGAATTTTGTAGTTCATATAAAGTTTGGAACATAAAAAGTGGTGAACATGAATAATGACTAACACTATGAAAAAGACATTCTGTCACATATGTCATAAATTCTTACCTCAGTGAATTGAGTGCTCTATTTTCTCCATCCCAGAACGTACAATATAGTGGAATTTGTGTCCATAATGACAAATAGGAACTTAAAAATTTAAAGTGATATTCACATGTTAATGTTGACTCTTCGAATGTTGAGGTGATTTTGCCGCCATTTTGAAACCTGTCACGAGTAAATAAGGTTAACTGATGTTGCATTCTGGGAGTCAATCCTTCTTGGATCACAAACATGGCGATCCATGAAAACATTATTCGATTTGGTAGGAATTTATCCATCATTTGCAGGAATGAAGCTTTGGATTCATTTATTGCGCTACTTACAGTGAACGGGAATTATTTTTCTACCGCTTGGGAGAGTTTGAGACATGAAACTTAGAATTTAGCTCATTGTGACAACTTTTGATGGTTGAGGTTTATAAAAGTCTCCGACAATAATGACTAACACAATGAAAATTCTGTCGCACATATAATAAATTCTTACCTCAGTGAATTGAGTGCTCTATGTTGTCAATACTGGAAAGTACAAATGTAGTGGAATTTGTGTCCATAATGACAATTAGGAACTTTTGAAGTGATTTTCACATGTTAATCCAGACTCTTCAGATGTTGAGGTGATTTTGAAGCCCGATTACGCCGCAGGGAGGATTGACTCCCAGAATGCAACGTGACAGCTTTCAAAATGCAGTTTCGCCATTTTGAAATCTGTCATGGGTAAATAAGATTAACTGATGTTGCATTCTGGGAGCCAATCCTCCTTGGATCACAACAATGGCGATCCATGAAAACATTCATTGAATTTATCCATCATTTGCAGGTATGAAGCCTTGGATTCATTTATTGTGCTACTTAGAGTGAACGGGGATTATTTTCTACCGTTTGTTAGAGTTGAGAAACATAAAACTTAGAATTTAACTCATTGTGACAACTTTTGATAATTGACATTTATTAATTAAAGTTTTCCATTGTACCAATATTTCTGGAAATTTACTCCCTTTTATAAGTCTGAGGGGATGTATACATGGAAACTTTCAATCTTGAGACGGAATTGACACGGAAAAAATACTCAAAAATGGGGTCTTTGGCGCGGCACCTAGGTATTAAGAGGTATATTGGAATGTAACCACCGAGCTCTTATTTACCACCTTAGTTTGTTAGAATTTTTACCGTCTAGTTTCCAAATACAACACTCCAATGTAAAGTTTTAAGGTTAAGATTTAGTATTAGTAATATTTCCAATCAACTACAGCTTATAATGCTATATTAATAAACTAATGAATGGGAAAAATCTGTATTAGGTTTTAGAGATAATACACCCTCTTCATCTCAACATCGAGATCAAATTATTTCTAGCTTTAAGCTTTAAAAAATGAAGTTGCTGAGACCACCTTTTTGCTTGGTATTGAAACATTATTATTTCATATTCAAATATAAAATTACATGCACTTTATCAGTAATCGATTTTTAAGTGCATATTATTGTTAGACTCCAGATTAAGAATCTGGAGTCTATTGCTTTTGCATTTTGGGATATTTTAGAGATTTCAAAAGGTCATAACATTTAAACCAGAAGTTGTGGCAAAATTTGGTTTGCAGATTCAGATTACTGAGGAAATTTTAATCTTATTTCATAACTCGTACATTAAATATTTTATTTTGACATACTTTTCGAATACCATATCTCAAAAGTTGGCCAAAATACTTTCTTACAGCAAAGGCTAACACTATAAGCACACTCTTTAATGGTAATGGTAAACAATGTTAAACAATGGCAAATTGTTTTTTTGATTACTGCTACGTTACTCATCTACCTTTTCGGGTATTCACTCGCTACTTACTCAGCTATCTTGGTCAAATCAATCTGGAGTCTTGAATTTAACCTTGCAAATCTAGTATATTAATATTCTTCTCAGGTATCTTCAATTTGCCCTTCTTATCCTCATTGATTGAAGTTCATTTATTCTCCTGGGTTTTCTAATAAAATTTAATTTGTCCTTTCCCCAGGTATAAGAGAAAACCTTGACAATAGGAACATTATACACATAATCTGAATTTAGAAATCGATTTATTTAATCATTACGTAAAATCTCTGTTTACATGTAGTAAATATTACATTCATTTTCTCATGCAACTAATATTCATAACAATTGATCTTGTTTCATTAATCAAAATATTGCCATTATTCACTTCACCTTTTATTCCATTTGGAAACCTTCTCTTTATTATGGTCAGAAAGAAAATATTTACTGAACAAACAATAATTATCAAATCACAATTTCTTACTCAACTTTTGAAATTTTCATAAAATTGATCAATAACAGAAACTGGGTTTAGTCATTGAAGTTACGCTTAATTTTTCATTGAAAGAAATTTCAGTTTTGATTTTTTAAACAAAAGAAACATCTGGATTGCTTGGTTTGATTGGAATGATTATTCTTTGGAAACATTTAGGAGTAAATTAAATCCAATCAGAACCAATACAACACAGTTTAACATGGAACCATTTTTTAATTTCTACTGCAAGGTAAAGCTAGAAATAAACTCCAGATTTTACAAAATGTTGTGTGCAGTGTGCAATTTTGAACTCTTAAAATGATTCTTCAAACGCAGAGCTACAAAACTAGTTCCTCCTTTTGGATCTTGGAGCCCAACGGTCAGAGGATCAATCAATATGAAAAGTCATACATGTGCACCGTATAAAGAAATATGAATGGTTTTATTTTTAGCTTGAGATGGAAGAGTGGGCAGGAGTCAACAGAAAACTACGTCAACATGGTTTGCCATCTATATCTACGATTCATCAATCGGAGGTGACGAGTACCTCAGGTATAATTTATATCTATTTTTAATTCAATGTCATGTTCTGTTTATCGTATATATAGGTTATTTCATGCTTGATTTTCAATATGAATTTTATTCCAGGGTAATATGATATATTGTCAATGTCATATTTGCCGAGGTCAATGTCATATTTTCCGTGGAATAAAATCCATATTGAAAAGCAACCATGAAATAAGTGTCCCGGGTAGAATTAGAATTATGATAAGTTTCCGAGATTTTTTCATCAAATCAATTTTTGAGTTAATACGATCCTAATACGAGCACGATTTTATTTCACAGGGAAAATAGTAGTATTATGGAATAAATTGTATTATGTTAATGAAAATGTTAAGTTTCAATTATTACTGTATGTCACGTAATATTTATTTGAATCTAGCAAACAGCGAATATTGATTAAGGGACATTGATCTTGTAAATGAAATGGGAATATTCATGCCATCCTTCACTAAATATATTATTAACATATCTGCAGTAGATTTCCCCATGTGGTTCTGTCATGTATACCCTTTATAAAGAGTTTTATTTCATATCTCTTAAAAGTGGTTTTTGATTTTTTTCTACACTCTTTCAATAATTTATAAAAAAATCAAAATCAATATTTTCATATAGCTCATTTTCAATAGCTCATTTTCAATAAAAATCATCAAGTTACTTTAATGAGGTCATACTGACTTTTTAAGTATCAGAACGGTGACTAGTATATGATTCTAGATCATCAGAGGGAAGGATTTTTACTGATATCATCTGGTCCTCAGGGTAGTTCATTCACAACATTGATGAAAATAATACTTTTCAGATGTTGTTGTATTAGAGTCTGATGTGGCAAAAAGTTTACGTCAGAGTGTGGTGTCTCTCATGACAGACTGTGATAGACGTCAAGAATTGATACAGGAACTTATCTCAACCAATAATCAGCTAAAGTAAGTAGGCTTTCGCTCAAAAACAAAATGAAGAAAAGGATGGGGTCCAAATGTTGACAGTTGTAGAAAAATGAAGTTCCACATATAACAAGATTTGAGAATGTGGTGATTTGCCTTTCACCTTTTCCAAAGATTGCCGATTCAACATTCTTCACCAATATTACCCATTCTCTCTCACAAAATTAACTTCATAATTTCACAAATGTTGCCATCTAGACAACATCCCTAAATCTACTATAATGAAACATTTCCAACTTGATCAAGTATTTTTGACTAACTTAAAGCCAGTTACACAGTCCTAAAATGTTTTTTCCTTGTGAGGAATTCTGAGTCAAACTATCCCTTTCATACCAATTTGTTGTTCAGGATTTTTATTGCATAGAAGTAAAAGGTAGAAAAATGTATGTTTCTCCACAGGGAAGATCTAAGCAGACAGCAGAATCTAACAGAGAAGTATGAAACCAGGATAAAAGATCTCAAGATTATGCTGGAGGATTCCAGAGCTAAGATTTCTGTGAGTTAAATCAATTAATAATCACAATTTTATCATCATCTGGGTCATGCTTATTTTAAACTTGCAGGTTCTTGGATTATCCACTTCATCCTCCTCTCCAGGGTGAGGCGAGGTGTTCAGAATGGGGTGGGGGGGGGGGGTTGGTCACAACACAAGCCCTCGATGCAAGACTATTCAAAATGTTTCTCTGCACTTAATTCTTTTATTTAGTTCATATTTTTGAAAAAGCTGTTTCAGTATTTTCATTGATGATAATTTGAATATTTTAAGATATAATTCATAATATAATAAAGGATTTACATATGACCTGAGATTCCATATGACATGAGGATTCCATATGACATGAGGATTACATATGAGTTGAGGATTGGATTCTATATTCCAGGAATTACAGGATGATAATTACACAACCAGTAACTATCTCCATGATGAGGAAACCAAACTTAGGAACACAAAGAATGCCATATCTGCCAAATACAGGGAGCTCCAGAATAGGTGTAAACAACAAGATGATGAGATCTACAGGTTGAAAAAGAAAATTGATAGAATGACTCAAGAGGTTGGTATATGAATGGAAACTTATAAATTCTGGTAATGCATGGTAGATCTTGTTATGTACTTAAAAAGGGCCTAGTCAAAATTAAGTGGTAAGTTAAGATCCTCTTTGTCATTCAGTCTCATTAACATTATTGTAAAATTTACATTTAATGTTTAAAGGACTCCCTATACCTGAAAAGAAATTATTTTTGCTTAAGATAGCACAAAGATTTTTGACCATCCCTTTATTTTATAGGATGTTTTTATTAGCTCACATGGTGAGCTTTTGCAATCGCTCACTTGTCCGTCTGTCCGTCCGTCCGTCCGTCCGTCCGTCCGTCCGTCTGTCTGTCTGTCTGTCTGTCTGTCTGTCTGTCTGTCAGTCAACAATAGTGGCACGTTTTAAAACCTCTGTCGATAGGATTCCTGTTTTAGGTTATTTCTGTTCAACATCAATACATAAAACTCCCCTATGACTCCTGGTTCAAAAGCTCGCCTATTTTCAAAATGGCCGCCATTTTTGTCTCGCGAAATTCACTTTTGACTGGCACGTTTTAAAACCTCTGTCGATAGGATTCCTGTTTTAAGTTATTTCTGTTCAACATCAATACAGAAAACTCCCCTATGACTCCTGGTTCAAAAGCTCGCCTATTTTCAAAATGGCCGCCATTTTTGTCTCGCGAAATTCACTTTTGACCCATTTCCTAGCTTTACAAATAATTTCAGGTGTCCTACATTGTAGAAATCTGTGTCAATGTAAAGAGTAGATATATGAAATAATTTTGTTACAAAAAATCAGCGAAAAATTATATCTATTTTTTTTATTTTCAGCCATTTTAGTTAACATTGATATGTCCATCTGACTTGTGAAATCCACTTTTCCGTCAACAACAGTGGCACGTTTTAAAACCTCTGTCGATAGGATTCCTGTTTTAAGTTATTTCTGTTCAACATCAATACAGAAAACTCCCCCATGACTCCTGGCTCAAAAGCTCGCCTATTTTCAAATTGGCCGCCATTTTTGTCTCGCGAAATTCACTTTTGACCTATTTCCTAGCTTTACAAATAATTTCAAGTGTCCTACATTGTAAAAATCCATGTCAATGTAAAGAGTAGATGTATGAAATAATTTTTTTACGAAAAATCAGCAAAAAATTATATCCATTTTTTTTATTTTCAGCCATTTTAGTTAACAGATTTGTCCATCTGTCTCGCAAAATCCACTTTTGGACCATTTGCCTTAAACCCTCTGTCGATAGGATTCCTGTTTTAAGTTAATTTTGTTCAACATCAATACAAAAAACTCTCCTATGACTCTTGGTTCAAAAGCTCGCCTATTTTCAAAATGGTCACCATTCTTGTCTTGCGAAATTCACTTTTGGCCCATTTCCTAGCTTTACAAATAATTTCAGCTGTCCTGCATTGTAAAAAGCCATGTCACTGTAAAGAGTAGTTGTATGAAATAATTTTGTTACAAAAAATCGGCAAAATATTATATCAGTTTTTTTTATTTTCAGCCATTTTAGTTAACATTGATTCGTCCATCTGTCTCTCAGTCAGTCCAAAAAGGTGGCAAGTTTTAAACCTCTGTCAACACTTTTTAAATCCTCTGTAGATAGGATTCCCGATTTAAAATAATTTTGTTCAACATCAATAAAGAAATAAACCTGTGACTCCTGCTTCAAAATCTCGCCTAATTTCAAAAAATTTCAACAATTATACCCGTCTTTTTTATTTTCACTTTTGAGCAACACCATGTGAGCCCAGTACCCACGGTACTAATTTTTTACCATATCCCAAAAACTTGAAATATTAAAATATATCAACCAATATAGATTACTTAATTGTGAGTGACCTTCCTGTTGGTTTTGCTCCTAAATGATAAAGCAAAATGAAAAAACAACTTTTAATAGGTGCATATAACACCGTATAAACATAGGTGTAAAGAGGAGATCTGTTGCCATCTTTTGATACTGGATGTGGTTCTGTGCATTCCATTTAACTTGATATTTTTTGTATAGGATGAGAAACGAATGTTGCATCAAAGTGAAGTATACAAGGAGATCAGGAAAAAGTCAAGTAGAGGACAACAAGCAATGGATGAAAAGTAAGAGATTTTACCTATGCTACACTGTATACTCCAAAACAAGGTACAAGTGCATCATGTAGGTGGCATTAGATCTCACATCAATATAGTAACTAGCTGCTTATTCCAGTTGAATATACAATTGCACACAGTTTTTTAGTGTCTGTTGCTTTTGCTTTTTATTTTATAAGAATGTCAATAACTCCATAATAGGATTTTTGTTTTGAAATTTCAAATTTTGTTATCCTTTAAGCAAGTATCATTGGCTAAAAGTATATGTAACCATTTATAATTTGAAACTGTAATATTCTCATTCCAGGTTATTAGATATTATAGACTCCTATGAGAGGCAGATTCATGGCTTGAAGAAGGAACTTGATATACTGAGGTAAATGATCATAATCATGGGATTGAATGTCCTAAATTCAAGGTTGAATGTTTTAAACAGGATTACCACATAAACTCTGCCCATTCAGTCATTCTCTTTTGTGTAACATATTTTACATTAGTTTCATCAATGATGATATTGAGAAAATTTGACACTAGGATACCGTAAGTCTTGTTACAATTAATGTTACTATTGCAAAAGGACTCCATAAAATATGATGTGTCTTGTTATTTTCAGAATGCAAGAAAAAATCTACAAAGAAGATACTTTCATGTTCAGTGTATGAAAGGATAATCTGTTCATAAACTTTCCTTTGGAAATATGTTAATATAGGTTAATAAACCAACATCATGTTTTCTTGTGTCCAGGTTTAATGGTGAAGATGAGAGGCCAAGACATGATACATCATTTGATGAACCATCTGAAAACTATAAAACATTAATCAAGGTAAATTTTTCACATTTTTACAAAGTGGATTCATTGTCTTATAAGACAAGTTGCCCTGCAGTGATACATTGTGGAACTTTAAATTCTTTCTGATCAGTCTAAAATACAAAAGTAAAACATCTCACATTTGACTTTGCATTGAAGATAATAAAGGAACAAATAAATTGAGTAAACTTAAGCTTATGGCCTTTTACATGAAAATCCAAAGCTCATGGTATGATGAAGTTGGGTTAGTACCTATTTGCAATGTACGTGTTTGTAAATTTCTATGTTTCTTTTCTTAGACTTATGAAAAGCAGTTGAAGGAATCCAAGAAGAAAATAAAAAGTTTTGAAGATCAAGTGGAAATATTGAATCTAGAATTGGGTTCCAGGTATGTTAATTAATTGAAAAAGTGTATTATGTGTAGCAAGATAGAAAAAACCAACTACTATACGGTAAAACCTGTCTTATTGAAAACCTCTAGAGAATACCTGTCTCTAGTGGACACCTTTCCTCCGTACACACTCTACTGACTTCTGTTTAATTTATGATTTCTGAAGTGAACACCTTCAAACACTGAACATTTTTTCTCCGCCAAAAATGTTCAATATACACAGGTTTTACTGTATGTTTTTGTTTGGCCATTCTTGCTCAGAGGTTTTAAGTTACTTTAAGATTTTGCCATATTTTTACATGTCAGTATGCAACTTGCTTGTAAATGTCCAAGTTATTTATTCAGATTTTTGATTCTATTCAGCTGACCATATAGTTTAATACTTGTTATATATTTTATGTTGGTTTCCTGTTGAAATAGTCTCCTCAGGAATAATTGAGAAGTACATGCACTTTCTACATATGATTTAAAGACCACTATCAAACTCTATGTTACTAAGAGGGTCTTTTTTTTTCTCATGCAGGCCCGAACTTAAAGACTTTAGATCTGCCCAACACAGGATAAAGAAATTGGAAAAGATACTTGCCAAACATAATATCAGGTAGTGTTTAATTTACGATATACACTTACAATCCATTTCTCAAATATTAAAGCAACTAATTTCCTTGCACAAAGTATAAAGTTCAGTTTCAATATAGTTGAATATTTGGAATATTTTGGTCAGACTTCTTATTATAAAATTTTCCATCTCGTTCAAATATTGATATAAAGCCATTGACAAAGTACCGTATATACACATATATGCCAAGATTCATGATAGCGATATTACTTCTAAGCCTGAATGCAAATACATATGTACCTCACCATTGAATTATATTGTGTAACTAACTCACAGATGGGCAAGGTTAAACTAAAGAAAACTCAAAATTACATGTTTTAATACATAGTTCTGACTAATGTAATCATGTTATGATACAATATGTCAATAAAAGTTATATATATATAATACACATAAAAACAAAAAGTGTTTGCCTGATTCAGGTTATCAGATGAAAAGAACCAGGAGCAAGGTACATTGAAATACAGCACCCAAGTGGATGATATAGATTACTTGCCATTAAACCATTGCCGGAAATATTTGTCTGTAAGTCATAAGGCTAAACATCATGTTGGTCATATCTGAAAGTCCAAAATAGAGTGAAAATTCTGAAAAGGGTAAATTAAAGATGTAATTCTCACTCCTTCATTATGCCAAACCAATTGACAAATACATTTCCAGTAAATACTGAAATAAAGATCATTATCATTCCTCCAAACTTTGCCTCTTGAATTTTTACTTGATAATTTACAAGCATGTATTTCGGAACTGGAGATCTCAGCAGAAAGGAGAAATTACAGGCTTAGTACTTGACAGATGCCTCTTAAATATGCATCTGGATTCTTATTGATTTTTGAGTTTTGACTTTGTAATTTGTAGATGTTCTGTACAGATGTCGGTGTATTTGACTTGGACCATGTGCAGCCAAAGCTACAGAAACAGGCCAAGGCTGTAGAGGCATACCCAAGACTTGAACAGGTAAACAATCTGGTCCAGGGCATTAGAATTTCATAAACAGTGCTGACCTGTATTAGATACAGTTGGATGATGAAACCTGAGCTATTATTCAGATATTTCCCCCCAACTAAAAAATTGGTTATTCGTCTAACTGCCTCTGCCGTGCATAGATCTGTGTAAATTACATTCAATTTTGGAAATTGTTAAATATTTATTTCATACATTATCTAAATTACATTCAATTTTAGAAATTGTTAAATGTTGATTTCATACATTATCTACTTCCAGTTTGCTAGAGAGGTCCTTGAGGTGGTAGATTCTTCTAATGTACCCATGCCTCCTGGTGTAAAAGCCAAGTCACATAGGAGTTCACATAAACATGAAGTATGGTGTGAAAAGATGTGGCATCATGTCATACCTACCCTTCAATACTGGGTCCAGCAGCTAGCTGGTCTCAAGGTATGTTGGCAATTTACAGTATGCTGAATAATTGTTTTTCTAATATTGATCTAAACATGTTTTTTATTTTTGAGTGACATAATTCCATCAACAAGTTAAGGATGTTTTATGTATCACCCATTGTAACTCTTCACTGAATCAAAACTAGGCAAATAATGTGATAAATTCATTACAGGCAAAAGGTACTAAAGTAGTAGAAATAAATAAATTATTAATCGTTTAAGAAATCGAATTCTGATGTACTTTTGTGTAAAACTCTTTTGATTAATGACAAACAAATATTTCTTCTTTCTTACATTTTTACTTTATCCTTTATTATCCAGGAACTTCAGCATTCTATTAACAAATTAAGCAGTAGCCTATTACCTTGGAAGACCAGTAAATTCCACTCCAACCCTACAGTCACACAGATGGTGTCATCAATAGATTCCTTACTTTATGAAGAAGAGTCAAAAAGTAAATGTCAAGAACCAGAATGATTTACGACAAATGGGCATCAAAGTATCTTAAGATGTAAACTGTTGATTCTCTCGCCATACGGTGTCATTCATTCCCATTTTACCTAAATCGAAATAATCCTTATTAACACGATTGTTTGTGATTCACAGGAAGGTCGTGAGATCCCATCACAGACAGTCCTACAAGGCATAGTGGAGCACTTTCAGAATTTATTTGACGTCCCCAAGGTGTCAGGCATCTATCCACGTATGAATGATATTTACACACGGCTTGGTGAGATGCAGAATGTTATCAAAACTCTCAGGAATTTACTTGGTTTGCGTAAGTGGCAATATAATTCAGCTCGATTCAAGTTTGAATTCACAATAATGTAAATACATGTACCTTGATTGCTAAATGGATGTGAATATTCCTCATGTCAATTCTCGCTCATTGTGTACAAAGAGAATAGTTTTCATTATAAAAGCCTGTGATTGGGCACTAAGAACGATTAAAAATTTCTGAGAGAAATCAAAATTGCTATAGATATCTATGAAGATATTGGGAGTTTTAATATGACGCTCCTTGATAATTCACGATGAATAAGAATAAATACACCTTATTACAAAACTTTAAGTATTGATTTTGATATTTCATGAAAGATGAAGAAGCCAGGACAACTGCTATAGTGGATGCTGTTGGTAGGTTATGTCAGAATCATAATGCTACAACAACACAACAACTGAAACAACTGCTGCAAGTAGACGAATTAGATGGGTAAGAATTGAGAAAGATTCAGAATATTTTATGATAATCTAGAATTAAGTCACGTGTGTTAGTATATTAATCCCAGCTTAATAAACAATAATTATAATCTGAGATTAAGTCAGCTTTAGTATGTTAATCCCAGCTAATAAAATAAACAATGTAAAAATTACAATTTGGTGATTTAGAGCAATCGAGTTCAAACTTCTTGATCAGGCCAATATGTGCACAACGATTACTGAAACTCAGAGATAAGATGCCATGATATTACACTTATATGTGCTTTTTAAAAGAAGAAATTGTTGGATTTGGATTCATCTCAGTATATTGACAACAATTTGAATTCCGTTTATGTAGGATAAATGTTAATAATATCTGTATACATACCGTATACAGTATGTTTGTAATTTCACTGCTACTTTTAGACACTTAACTCATATAGTGTTATTAAAATATATTCAGAAAAATAATGTGCACAGTCAATGTATGTGATCATATTGCATTCTATGTCTGTGTTTTGTAGAGTGATCAAGAAGCTTGAGGAACATGAGTCATTCTTTCCAGTCTTCCAAGACATCATCTCAAAGCTTATGGAGATATTAGGTGAGTTTTATCTTTGTATTGCTACTCTACCGAAAATTCCAAATCATTATGTTTTTTCAATTATTAGTTAGGCCCATTAGCCACAGAAATGTCCCTAAGTGGAACATAAAGAGAGATAAAGACAGGGAGGTTGAATTTTATAATGATCAATATCTCCATTCTGTCCTGAAGATGAATAGGTGACATCTTTCTGCTTACTCTATGTTTTTATGTTGCCATAGTAACAAAATCCACAATCACTTTACAGAGTTTTCAGATCATAAACTATATAAATATTAATTCTTGAAACTTGAAAGAGCATTATGAATGCTCAGATATTAGTGAAGTTAAGTGTTCAGCTTGCTTAATTTTGAATTTTTACTTGTTTCAGATGTACATAAAATGGACCAAGTAATACCTGCAGTGAGAGCTGTGAAACTGTTAGCCACATAGCATATGAGAACATTACATCCACAATTCACAATGTCAACAAACTAACCAATCGAGGAGTAAAATGACAATATAGCCTACTGTATCCTAGCATATGGGAACATTAAAACCACAATGTATGAGCACATTACTAATTAGAACCACAAAATCAACTAACAAAGTGAGGGTTACAATGACAAGAAACTTACTCTCTATTGGATACCCATTAACAAAGACTATCATGATTACATAGCATACTATATAAACTCTCATGATTGGAACCAAGGAGAACTATAAAAGTCTATAAAAACCTTTGTTCAGTAATGTGGTATGAGACTGACACTGTGCTGTTAGCTGCCCTTCCTCTTATTTATTATAAACATTTGGCCTCATTCAACAATAACAAAACTTATGATAAGAATCATTAGAGGCTATGTTAGGAAAACAAAGAAATATATTATACAGAACAATATATATATAATATATACTGTAGATTGGGTTAATTTGGCGATACTTAATTTGGCGATTTTGCCATATTTGGCATATTGGCGGCTATTTAATTTGGCGGATTGCAAAAAGAAAAAAAAATTTTTAAGGACCACTGGCGATATTCACCACGTTTGTACATTTTTGTGAGATCATCCTTTACATTTTGTACCTCGATCTATGCTGCTACCATACTGCTTTTTTCCCTGAGTATTAATGAGTGACTGACCAGTTCTGAGCCAATTTATGAGAGACATTTTTCATATTTTTGGAAAAAGCTAAACCGGAAGTGACCTAAATACACTGGACCAAATACCCTAGATAATTCCCGGGGATTCATTCTAAATTTTGGCGAAGATTTAAATTGGCGAATTTTTCATTTTCGCCAAATTCGCCAAATTAAAGCGGGCGCCAAATTAACCCAATCTACAGTATATATAATAGGATGTATTTGTACTGATGCCCTTTAAGGGCCAAAGGTACATCCAACATACACTTTTTATTAACAGTAAAAAATAACAACAAAGTAACAGAACAATATATTATACAATACAATATAGTATTTAGTACACTCATTAATGTGCGACTGCTGACTAGCTAGACTTGTTGGTAAATTGTAATTTTTATTACCGCTACCACATTACTTCATACATTTCACATAATCAATGATTTCAAGATAATTTTAGTATGCTGGTACAGAACATTTATATGTGATGATGTTGTAGTGTTTTAGTGCATTTGTTCAATGACAATGACATTGGACAGTGCCCCTGTAACTTGAAAAACGATTAGCATCACCTGTTACTGCATTCATCTCATGATCTTGCCACATTTGTTATATTCTATGAATTTTTTTCTCATTAGTGTACTCAATTTATCACTCTTTTTGTCGCTATTTTACATTATTGGAGAATTATTTTAAAAATAAATATCAATAAATAATACAAATTTTAAGTGTTCTGTTTTTAAAATGAAATTTTACATTACATGTACTGTATATCACTTGTGGTATATGTAATTATCCCAACGAACTAAGTTCGGTAGGGATATAGTGAAGCCCTCCGTCCGTCTGTCCGTCCGTCAGTCAGTCAGTCCGTCCGTCTGTCCGGAAGATAACTCAAATACTAGTAGATGGATTTTCTTCATATTTAGTGGAGAAATGTATATTGGTGAATAGTTTTACGCAAAAAATGTTTTTCAAGATGGCCGCCGCTTTAAAAATGACGGGACTTTTTCGCAAAAATCATAAATTTTTCATTCTTAACCAAAGTAATTAATATTATTGTTTGAAATTTTGGTAGTATATTCACAACATTTATCTATTTCACATATATTCCGTGTTTTTCATCCTGACCCCCAGGGGCCGTGTATGGGGGGACAGGAAAACAGAAATTTTCGCTAATTTCTAGATCTTTCTGAAGTATAGCTTTATTATACTCAAATGAAAGGCAATTAAGAGTAGATTGCAAATATTGTATCTTTTTTCTGATTCCAGCCTTGTAAAATTCAAAATGGCCGTCTAATGTACGATTTCGCAATAATTTTTCGATCCCTTCAAAGTACATGTATGGCTATATTATACTCAAATTGAAGGAATTTTGGAGTAGATCACAATTATGGTATTATTTTTCAGATTTGTATCTCCGAAAATTCAAAATGGCTGCTTTGCAGGAATTCGCAATTCTAAAATCTAATTTTTTCAATTTTAACCAAAGTAATGAGTATAATTGATTGTAATTCGGTAATTGATATTTTGTTCGTTGGGATTTGCTACTCCGCAGAGTTGCCGTTATCTAGTTAAATATAATCTAATGAATAAAGAACAATTTAAAATTGTTTATAGTAAATTCTGCATGTACTGTAAACCAAGAAATATCTTGTTTGTGCTAGTCACAAATAAATTCTAGAAACATAAATCACCCAGGGACGAGTTGATTTAAAGTCGGTTGATCATTTTCCAATGCAGCACATAGTGATATTTTTTCTCTAGCTCTGGGGTTTGAATATTGTTTCAGTTTGCCCTATCTTATTTTACAGCTACTACCAACAGTATGGTTATTATCTGCCACCCATGTTGCAATCAGTTACAATAAATCAAAGATTTATTGATAAAATGTACTTTTGATAAACTTATGAATACATATGTAAAAAGGCCCTTGACACATACTGAGCTGTATATCTTGTGCTGCATTTTACATTCTTTCACTAGTAGAAAGTCACATCATATGTAGGCTAGGATTACATTATCATTTTCCTATAGCATGTGAAATTGCCATTTTAATTTTGTCATTTCATGCTGATCAATACTATCGACAATTTGCATCTCAGATTTACCTAAGAGTATGAAGAAAAGAATCTAATTGCAACCTTTCAGACACGCCCACTTTTCAAAGACCAATGCAGAATATTATGTCATCTAAATGTCTTCGGTGTTATATATAGTTCTACGCAATGACAGTTTATTAGAAACCAGATACACATTAATAAACGAAAAATACACACGGCTGCATGATCAATATCAAGTTACTAACGCTAACCTTATCATGATAATCAATCAAAGTCGAAAGTACGAATCGTGTTCGAAAATTTTTGTTGACATTACGACGAACTTCCGGTGAATTGACCAATCAGCATCGAGACTTTACAGGTGACCTCTTGAGTTTGATAGTGAATATTCTAACATAATGAGCCGTGGTAGAGCGCTATTATCGACACTCTCCAAGATGCCGAAGATGTATTCAGCCCCAGAGAACCTGAAGGTGCCGATGAACTTCCCAAAGAAGTTACTGATGGGTCCGGGACCGTCCACAGCACCACCTAGAGTGCTTGCAGCAAGTGCCCTCCCCCTATTGGGACATCTTCACCCAGAATTCACACAGGTGTCTAACAGATTTTACTATTTTTATCATCCTTGATTGTACATGTATATAGATTTTTGTATATGTCGATTTCAGTTGAGAATGTATTCTATTTCTGTTATTTCTTGGAGTTATAGTGTACACGATTAGTTTACATCATTTGAACACATTGTTGCGCAGACTTCATCTGTTCGTTCTGGAGACATCATCGAAGGATGTTCACAATCATAAGTACATGTACATGCATGTACCCATATGACTTATCTTATCAATACATGTGGACATGTTCATGTAGCCTACATGCTATATGAACATGTTGGAGTCTAATTGTAATTGTAAATGAAAGTCTAGTTCAATCATGGGTTTTCATGGTTCAATCAATGTGTTCCACACTTATCGTATACAATCCAGAAAAAAAGATGACATTGTCATGAGCTTTCTAAAGTCTTTCGAAAGCCTGTGGCATGGTGCGGCATAAGTGTAGTTATAGACCAAATGACCAATGAAATAGTGACAGAAACTACTCGGTGGCAGATTTTATTTCATAATTTTCATCATGTCCTTTCAACGCCCATGTTTTCATGTCCCTATCCAAAGACATGGGACGTGGTCATGTCTAAGGTTGTATAGACAATTGCCATATATAACAATAAGATACGTGTATATCCAGATACATGTAGTGTTTCTTTACATTTAAATGTTTATTTTCAGATAATGGATGATGTGAAAGATGGCTTAAGATATGCATTCCAAACCAAAAATGAACTTGTTTTAGCTGTATCTGGCACAGGTAACAATTAGCTCTTTTGGCCAATTGACCAGTTGCTATATAGTTGGATTGTTTGGACTGGATACCAGTATTCAGAATAGAAATTATTTTAAAAGTCAATTCATTTCTCAATTAATTCATCAAATATTTCTAATTTGAATGTATGTAAACCTTCATTGGCAAAAACCTCATGATCTTGACCTTGTTAATGTGAAAATTGGAAGCTAGATAGTTGTGATACTTCTCATTTAAGAAAGAATTCCTTAATGATGTTTAGACAACTTCATGAGCTCTAAAAAATCTTTTCTGATATGAAATATTCTGAAGTGTACATTGTAAATGTATTTTTGATGAGCAAATGCTTTATCATTTTAGGTCATGCTGCCATGGAGACCGCTGCCTGTAACTTAATAGAAGATGGGGATGTGGTTATGGTCTGCAACATGGGGCTCTGGGGTACACGGTTTGCTGACATGGCAGAGAGGCATGGTGCTGATGTCAGACAGCTCAAAAAAGATTTTGGCCAAGCTTTTACCCTTGAAGAAATTGAACAGGTAACCTCTATTAAAACATGAAAGTATCTGCATTTTTTGTATTTTTGTATTTGAATTGCCTGCATTACATAAATGCGTGGAGTAGTGAAAGTTACATGCACATTTGTACATAAACAAATCAAACAATCACATTTTATCCCTTGTTCTGTATATTTCCTCTGCAGGGTCTTAAGGATCATAAGCCTGTTCTAGTCTTCCTGGCTCAGAGTGAGTCATCATCCACCGTCCTTCAACCAGTAGAGGGAGTAGGGGCCCTTTGTAGAAAGTAGGTCAAACAACTTTCATTTATTTTACTGTATATTTCTATTTTATACAACTGAATAATGTGTAACTGGTTAATTTTAGATACAGATAATTAATACATTAATACATATTCTGTATGATGTTTTGTATATTTCAGACACAACGCTCTCCTTTGTGTTGACACTGTAGCCTCTTTAGGTGGTGCTCCTTTCTACATGGATGCTTGGGGTAAGTAAACAGTACCCACATGAAATTAACTATAGGTAGGGCAAGCTTGGAATGGAAAAATTGTCTGACCAATCAATCTTACAGATCGTTTCCATTCTGTGCAAGTCCTACATACAAGGCTAAGTAAGAGCCCTTTATAAATTATTAGCCAAAGCACTATACATTATATTGTTTTCACATTTTTACTTTTCACGTTGGATTACGATGTCTATTAAACGAATTAGCTTTGAAAATGTTAAACTTCATAGATTTTTACTTTTTACTTTTTGTCATGGTTATTTTTGTGGCTATTGCTCTACTAACGACACATAGCAGGCAGTAAAATGCAAAATTCTTTTGATGTAAGAGCAATGCTGGGCTTTAAAAGCTTGACATCATTTTGGCCAGATTAATAGATACCACAGCCTGGTGCATTTAGTGAATTAGGAGGGTTCAGGAAAACAACGAATACTTGTTTTGCTATCAAATCCAAGAATTTTATTGAAAACATAGCCAATGTAGAGTTTGTGAACAGTATGACACTATGTTTATATTAAAAAAGATTTGGGTTAAAACTAACACTAGAAGAATAAACTTAGTTAAACCTTTGTTTTAATTAAAATAAGTAGATATTTTATTTTATAAGCAACAATTGTGTTTGTTTGTTTTTTGGGTCACCCTGTAACATAATTTGTTGATGTTTCTTGTTAGATATTGATGTCGTCTACAGCGGTGCACAAAAAGTACTTAGTGCTCCCCCTGGTGCTAGTCCTATATGCTTTAATGAGAGAGCTAGGTATTAATTTGCTTGTTTTTCTATTCATGAATCTATAATTCCCCCCTGTTTGTGTTGTTAGATGTTTAATCGAACTTCCATCGGAATCTTCGTAGAAACCTGTTGTTGGCCTATAGATGGCATAATGAGCTATGGGATTACAAAAGACAGCCAATACATCTCTATTATAGTTATCTCGATAAAACAATTTATACTGGGATTGTGGGATTATATTTGGTCAAACTAAGTTAGTGGTCATTTTTTTAAAAAAATTGTCTTTTAACACTTACAACTGTCATGTTTTGAAATGCAGTTTGTGGATGCAGCAAGGAAGTACTGCCCTTTGAGCCTAACCAAAGTAATATAAAACCTTAGTAATTTTAGCTGGTTTTGAGTTCATTTTGAGTTTTGATCAATTTAAAAGTATATGTATCTAAATTTGATAAACTAAAAAAAGTAAACTGAAAATACTAATTTTGCAGGCAGAAGTTGGTGAACAGAAAGACAAAACCGAGATCATTTTACTTTGACATGAACTTCCTGAGTAATTACTGGGGATGTGATGGCGAGGCTAGAAGGTAAGAGACCTCCATCCTTTTGAAAGAGAATATCTGAATTATATACAGACTAACCATATCATAGATCCAGACTCATCATGCCTCATCATATAATATCCCTTAAAAAGCAGACCAACTAAGAAATGTTTAGTTCCTAAGATGCTGACCATTCATAAAATGAACGACTTATAAAATAAATGATGTAATTGTTGAGTATAATTTATGATCTTTTAAGACTTCCTCAAAGTCTGAAATATTCAACTGATAATTATAATTCTATCTAATTCATGTAATTACAGTCTCATTATAATATCTTTAGATACCACCACACTGGGGTCATCAGCAGCATATATGCTCTCAGAGAGGGGCTGTCTATGCTGGTTGAGGAAGGTCTTGAGGCCAGCTGGCAAAGACATGCTGACTGCACACAACTCTTCCATGATGGCCTTGCCAAGATGGGATTATCCTGCTTTGTTGAAGATAAGGTATATCTTATTTAACTCTCTGGTGTCTGGGATATTCTCTAATGCAGCGAAATGGCCAACCTATAATGCCAAAGGCGATTGGTGGCTGAAATGTATTAAACTTGCATAAAGTTTATTTATAAAAAAGATTTTCACCAGATATGATCAGGATAAACTTCAGATATGATCCCTCCTAGGCTACAACCTCCATTTAGATCTATGAATTTTTGCTTCAGAATATTCGCCTACCGACTCTTACTGCTGTGAATGTGCCTGAGGGCGTCAATTGGAAGGAAGTGGCAGACTTTGTCATGGATAAGTGAGTGAAAAACTGCTTTATGTTTTCTACAGAGAGGATTGGCAAATCACATAATTGAATGGCGTTTTCATGGAACTATGATGTCATAGCATTTTCCTGGGATATTTATTGTGTCGATTTTTCATTGAAGTTTTATTTTATTTTAAGTGTCTGAAATGACATAGAGCTTCTATAAATTGAGTAAAATTCCTTCTTGTACAATGTGTGAAATCATCTATCATCCCAACCGTCCAATGATAGATGAATCACTGTCGAAACATAAGTGTTTTCCATATAAAATATCATAAGCGGATTGTAGGTCTGGAGAATTGAATATTACAATATGATACCGCTTGCTTCAAGCTTCAGATATTAAAACATAGTGATTGAGCATGGAACCGATAATGATATGATACCATCTAAAATATGTTTTGTTCTATATTCACTGAGAGATATATGTGTGTTTCAGATATAAGGTTGAGATATCTGGAGGATTGGGACCATCAGCTGGCAAAGTGTGGAGAATTGGAGTGATGGGCTACAATGCTGAACCAGCTAATGTTAATCTAGTCCTACGTGCATTACAAGATGGTATAGATAAATGCAAGAAATAAAGGCAAGTAGCATAAGAAAGATATTCCATATTCACTTGAACTTGGATTTGATTATTTTGAATGGAGTTAATATTTGAAACAACCAAGTGACTACATTGAGCTATTATTGCTTATCTGAGGACAGATTGTGTTACAGTAAAGAAGTCACATCTGATTTAATTCCCCGCCTAATATAATGGACTTATTCATGATTACACAAATGCTTTGTCATTCATTTTGATTTCCAAAGTCATGAGTGGATGTGTCGGTTATGGCCACTTTCTGTAATGGTTTTGATTCGTCTTATGATAATATGAATCAAACTGGATTCATTCCAGGACCATCCATCACCTAGTTTTTGTATTTAAACCCATTCAGTTATTTAGAAATTAAAAAATTATTTCTGATTTTCAGGGTAATTTGGGACTTCAATTCAGAGCTTCGTCAAAAGGAAGTAGCCAAAGTGACATTCCTAGTTCTTTCCACAAACATGGACAATTCGACATACAGTATTGTAACTCTGAGCTCAATAATACAATAAGGAAAACTTTGTGATATTAAGACATTTCTTCGCATATTAAAATATATGCTGAACTCAGTGCACTGATATATTAAAATCAGTCTCAAACCTCTCAAGCAATTCAGATATTTAAACTAGATTTACGTGAAAGTCTGAGGATTTATAATATTGATGGAGTATATTCCAAGGTGAGGGTTTATAGGGATTTTAGAGCACATTTTACACATACTAAAGATAAAATTAAACCAAAAATCATGCAATATTTACAAGAATTTAAAATAGAACAAATTTTGTCATTATTCTGTTTTATTTATAAATAAATTAAAAATATATTCTATTTTACATAGAATTAGCAATATGTAACGACATCATTTTATAACATACACCATGCACAAACCTTATAAAAGATCATTGTTGCTTACAATACAATTTGCCAAATAAAATACAAAACATGGATTTGTAAAAATAAATGATTTGTTATTTTAGAGGTTCAACCAATTTGAAATGTACATAATCACAAAGTAATTGATGAGAAGGGGGGGGGACAGTCATTATAGTGTACATATTATGAGTAGTGAAATAGAGTTGAACAGCTCCATTCTTCAGTTCAGTAAAACATGGATCTATTAGGAGCTTGAGGTATAAATAAACCAAAATCAAATACATTTCCACTACAATATGACGAGTGGGCAAATTCAGTTTAATCTGGATGTGTAATGATGGAACAGAAAAGAAACATGGAAGGTATTGGGAATACTCATTGCCTTTTGGCAAAAACAGAGACCTATAAAACATATATGTCTTTAGCAGAAATATTTGAGGTAACAATCATACTGGTAGACCTTGAAGAGACAAGTACACACACTTTCAATCAACAGGTCTGTCAGATGTGGCTACCCTATATAGAAGCCCAGGTATCATTAAATGTTGCTACCTCCTCCCCATTGCATTTGCAATCCTTTTCCTACTATCAGTCACACTATTGCCCTTCAGCTTCCCAGGACTCCTAGATTTCTCGCCATCAAATCCAACAGTCTGTACATTGTTCAAGTACTCCCTGGCCATGCTAGAGTTACTGGAACTATTCCCTAGGAAGTCTCTGGGGGGAGGAGGGTGTGGCTGGGGGGTGACACCCCCCGGTTGGGGATTGGCTATACTCCCAATGCTGTTTTTGTGACCAGCTTCACTACTGGTAGAATTTGACCTAATAGGTTTCATATTGTCTCTCTGGTTAGGGCTTTGGTAACCACCTGGAAATGAAAGGTAATGAATGTCACAATGGCATAATATTTGTATATTTGAAAACCTTGATCTCTCAAACGCACGATGAGATGAAAAAAATTCCAATATTAAAGAAAATCGAGATCATTATGGATAATAATTGAACACATATTGCAGGGTGAACCAAAAACCCACAAATTTTTTAATAAAGGGTTCGGGTCACCCTGTATAACCACTTAATTAAACACCAAACAAACCTGATGGTCTTTTGAATGAAAGAAGTTGTTCTTTAGTCTCACTAAGAGTTTCCATGAGTTCAAACCTCTCCTCACATTCTTTCCTTACAGTCTCTTGAAGGAACAGGATCTGGAAGAAACATGTGAAATGTAGTACAACAGACAAGCATCGGGATTTAAACAAACATGATTAAAATAAGCATAAAAACTGAAAAGTACAGTAAAACTTGTATGTCTGAACACCTCTCTAATCCGAACACCTCTCTTATCCAAACACCGCAATGTGGACACTTTTTACAGTATCATTTTAGTTAGGCATATAGACGTCCATATTAAAAACACACACAAATCCAAACACTATTCTATCAAATTCTTTACTTACATCCTCCTGTTTAGCTTTGAGATCATTTTCTAAAGCATTTATTTCCTGTCTGAGATCATCTGCTTCACTTGCTTTCTCAATAACTTGTACTTTAAGAGCAGACACAAGACCTTCATTGCCAACGTCAAGTTTTGCTAAAAGAAAGGTTTTGACAATGTGTAACTCTCTTGATGACAAATGAACCATTCTTTTAGAGAACCAACATACTGTATTTTTATAATTAATGTATTGATTATGAAGACAATAAAAACCCTTTAAACCTAAAACTAACACAGCAACTTTAAGAATTTAGCCTGTTGATTAAAATACTGATACTTAATTTAAGAAGGGGTAATTAGTAATCTAATCCTAGTTTCCATAATTTTACGCAAATTAAGAATTTAAATGAATGCAATGATTATGAATTAATAAAACCTAACCCTCATTAATAGATGATTTCTCATGAATTAATATAACTGAAATAATATGTATTGACACCAATGGTACCAGAACAGAAGGTAGAGCTGCCCCGAAGAGAAAATCAACCCCTACTCCACAATCTGTGTGCCAAGGAAAAAGGGGGTTGGATTTTCTTTTTGGAGATTTCTATCTGTGTCTGCTTGTGATTAATAAAGTTTACCATTTACCTAGTCTATCCTCTAGATCTTGTATAATGGCTTTCAGGCTGCTGATTTCTCCCCTCAGCTCCTGCTCTATCTCACTAGTCCTTGCTCTATAATCATTGTTCTCCTTTCTCATGCCTGCTATCTCATTTGAGTGCTGCTTTTGAAGTAATGCTAGTTGGTTTTGAGTCTAAAAATCACAAAATATGTTGATTCAAAATTGGTCAAGACTGTTTGGATCATACATCGGAACATTAAAAATGTTAGGATTTGCTGATCTGTTGCCATGGTAACATACATCACTCAAAATCAACAGTTGCAATATTTCTATAAGTGTTCATTACATGAACTCCCAGTTAATTTAACCTCAAATTCTTCAGTCTAGTATAGCTATAGAATTAATGCTAAGCTACAAAAATGCTACATGTTCTTTCATTCCCCGATTCATTACTATGGTAAAATGTTACAAATCTCCAAAACAAAATGGATCAAAACATACAGACGATCAAGATTTTGCTAAGATCTATTTATAACTTGCTCACATTGCTATTATCATCTCTATGTTCAGATTTGTATTTATCCAAGAGTTCCTGGTGTTTTTGTTGCTCAATCTGCATCTCCATCACAAAATTTTGCTTCAATTTTTCCTCAAGCATCCTCAGCTCTTTGTTGTGTTTTCGCTTTTCTTTTGATAGAACTTCCTCAAGCTGGAACCATACATAGTATATAAACTCTCAATTAAAACGAATTTTGGGTTTTCATAAAAATGGATACTTATTTAATATCATATAAAGGAGAGTCATGATTGATTGCAATCACATGTACCTTTTCAGGCCACCTCTCAGCCTCTGCCATTTTATTCTTGAAGCTTTGTCGGAGTTCCTCAATTCTGTTTTGATGTATTGAGATCATCTGTTCCCTCTCAGCCTTCATTGATGTAAGTTCTGACTGCACCCGGGACAACGAATCACGGAGCTGACTTTTTTCAGCTGTAAATTAATGGTGTTTTTAATCAATAAGATTTTAAGTTTTTTATTGTAAAAATGCCTTTGCACAATAAAGTTCAGAACTCCCATAATGATTACAATGTATTGGTCAATCTTCAATGTACTGCAGACTTCCAAACTCATTCTTCATGTTCTATATAGATTAACAATGTTACACATTAGCGCTACATGGAGTTTGCTGGAGTTGTTCAATTGTATACCCACCAAGCTTTCACATTGAAATCTGAATTCAGATGTTGACTGTTATCTTATAAAATAAACAGTTTTCTTACTTGAGACTTCTGTTGCTTGTCTCTTTATCTCTAATTCAGCCTCCTGTTGTCTTTGAAATTTTCTCTGGAAGGACTCTAACTCATGTTGGGCACTTTGTATCTCAGATTCCTTGCTCTTCAACTCAAGCTGAAGTCTAGAAAATGTGAAATGAATATCTATACATTTATCTCTTTTTAAAGTTTAGCATTTTGGACCTTTTAAACAGAATATAAATGTCACTGAAATTCCTGCATTAAAGCATGTGGTCACTTTGCCACCCTCTTTCAATTCTATAACCTTCAAATACATGTTGAAATCTGGCTCACCCTGTATTTAAACAAAAGCAATTATAAGTGTTTTAAAATCTCAGATCATCTTTATATGAGTCACATAAATAAAGTCAATTACCATAATTATCATAATCATGTATATAATATTTCAAGACACTGAATGTACTTACTTTTGTATCTGTTGTAAATTGTGTTGTTCTGTATTTCTGATATTAGACTGCACATCTTCAAGTTCTTTGCTTTTGTTTCTGAGGAAAAATAACAGTTATTAGGTGAATGTATGTTATGTAAAGATTGTATTTATCTCGAATGTCATCCTAAAATATAGTTAAGCTGGAGTAAGATAGGATACCGTTCACCTAAACTGCTTTCATTGATCTCTGATTATGATAAACAAACCATTGAATGTTACACTGTATTTACCTGAGTTGTTCTTTATATTGCTGGGACTCAATGGAAATCATTCTACTCCTTGATACAGCACCATCCAACTCTATCTGTAACTCTGTAATAGCAAGTGAACATACTGCATATAGCGAGTGAACAGCAAATGCACATAGCAAGTGAACAGCATATGAACAAACTGCATATAGCAAGTGAACATACTGCACATAGCAAGTGAACATACTGCACATAACAAGTGAACATACTGCACATAGCAAGTGAACATACTGCACATAGCGAGTGAACAGCAAATGCACATAGCAAGTGAACAGCATATGAACAAACTCCACATAGCAAGTGAACAACAAGACCATATTGCACATAGCAAATGAACAGCAAGTGAACATACTGCACATAACAAGTGACCAGCAAGGGAACATACTACACATAACAAGGGAACAGCAAGGGAACATACTGCAAATACAGGTACAGTAGTTTGCACTTGGTCCCAGTCTTTAGTAGAATATATAAAGTTGTTGCCACGGAGCATCAGAATAGGAGAGCAAAAAGTACATTTGAATTCCATACAGATATCAAAAAGAGTGGGTTTTATTCCAGTGCACCCCAAGAGAGGGAATCTACATCAATAAAGGTATGAGGCCTGTGAAATGTGATGTTATGTGAAGGTATGGTGCCTGTGAATGTAAAGCGTACGGGGTCCAAAATTGAGATTTTAGGGTGTTTAAGCTTGCAATGTTTTCCACAACCTAAACGCGAAAGAAAAATATTTAAGCGATGCATTTGTATGGGCGACTGGTCATACGTGTAGGTTGGCGTTTCGATTATTTATGCAAGCTTAAACTCCCTATTAACAATTCAAAGACCTCGGACAGACCCTCCAAGATAAAAAGTCATCAAAATGAAAATAATGAAATATTTCTAAAGCAGATCAGAATGTACTAACACTTACCTTTGACTTTTGATTGCAAGGAAGAACATTTTTGTTGTAAATTCTGTGTTTCTTTTTCAGCTTCATTAAGTTTCTCATTAGTCTTTTGGGCAGCTTTCAGTTCAAGATTTGTGAACTCATCTTTGTCTTTGAGAGCAATGTTTTCATTTTCAAGCTGCACCATTTTCTCATGCATTGTTGTCAGATCTGAAAGGTATTTCAGATATAATGGTAGAAAACAAGAAATATTGGCAATAAATAATTTGGAACTTTTGTGGTGATTGACATTTGAAAACTGATTTACAATTTACTTCTTATATGTATACACAATGGTAATAAATGGTATCTCTCTTTAAGTAAAATGCACTTAAGTCACCATGATCATGCAATTGCAAGTTTATTAAATGTAGGTTTTAATTCTCACCATTTAATTCTTTATTGCAGGTTTCTTTAATGACTGTGTGTAGTTTATCTGTCTCTTGTTTGAAGACCTTGTCTCTCTCATGTACATTTGTTTGTATGATTGTCAACTCTGATCTCTGTTGTCTTATACTGTGCAGAAGTCCTGGCAAGTTTCGCCTTATTGATTGCATACTTGACCTGGAAAGTGTGTTTATTGCTTGATGAGATCTAAGTTCACATATAGACTCTGTCAAGGGGAAGAAAATTGCAACAAGAAATTATCTAAAACGATGTGTTCTACACCATCTAAATAATTTCTACAATTGAATGGTTCAGTTGTTGACAACGGACAAGATGAGGAATGATATAACACGAGATTCTGAAATTAAGTGACATGTTCCAAATTCAAGAATATTACTATGGTAAATCCTTATTAGAAGATAATCAAATAAATGTACTATTAACAGTACAGCACTATGGATTGGTCATACAATGAATTATGTACTATACCTAGATGTCTCAGCATCTTGTATAGCAGTTGATAATTTCTCCTCTAGTGTCTTTCTATTCTCTGCCAAGGCTTCAATCTTTTCCCCTCTCTCCTTTAACAATTGTTCTAACTTCTCAATCCTAGATAACATGTAAAAAATGCATTCAAGAAAGTGTTTTGTCTTGCATCATTTTGTCTTGTCTCTGGTCAGTGTGGACAGGACTTGGCTCAAGACTAATTCTATCCTTAGTTTGTCATTGACCTGTAGTTTTAATCAATTTTAATCCTTTATAATGAATGTACTTAATAATTATCCTGGCAAATTGTTTTGAAATGTAAATGCCAGGCAAATTAGGAATCTTACTATATTTAGAAATAAAAAATGTAAAACAGTTTTTATTACTGTAGCTACTAAATAAATGCTCACTGTGAGTTTCTTTCATTGATTTGTGTGTTGAGTCCATCGAACTTTGATTGCACTTTTTCTAATTCCAGTCTGGCTTCCTTTTCTTTTTGCTCGCAGTCTCTGCAATTAAAGCAAAATATATTTTTATTTGATTCATAATTCGTTATCATGTAATCCTTGATTCATTCAGAGTGTATATTGCTATAACATTGAACTAAATAAATGGCAACAACAAAGCATAGAAAATCTCATCAAACATCGTTTCTCAAATGGTGCACATAGAGCAAACTTTGATGGAATATAAAAATAATTAATTACTCAAATAGTTTTTATGCACACCATTATAGATCACTTATATTCAGTCACATGTTTAATCAAAGGTAATATAGAACACAAATTACCAAATGTTATTTGAGGCCAAATTGTGTCATTATTAGCAGTTGGTATAAGCATGACATTTACGTTGTTTCTAAAGAAGCAAGATAAACAGCCAAGGTTTTACCAATTTATTATATTCATCAAGAGCATATGAAATACATTACAATACAGAACTTACATATAAAGCTGGAGTTGTTTCTCAGTGGCTTTCAGTTTATCTTCCAGGGCTTTTATCTCTCTATGTATCAGGTAGCTTACTCCACAAAATTTACAGACAGTATCATCTTTACCCATTTTACGTATCTCCTCTGGAAGGGGATGCTTTGGGGTATGATGCTCAAATTCAACATTGTCTTCTGCCTCCATTGTGCTACAGGTTTAAGGATCTATTCTATCCTAGAATACGAATAGCAAGTGTTGATATAATTTGATGAATGGTTATCTTGATTTAAAGGGTAGCAAACAATTGAGTCAAGTTGTAATTTTCAATTAGGATTTTCTTTTCTCAGGAATGTGTCAAAACCTTATTATCCCAACGAACGAAGTCCGTCCATCTGTCCGGAAGATAACTCAAATACTAGTAGACGGATTTTCTTCATATTTAGTGGAAAGATGTATATTGCCATAATATTGGTGAATAGTTTACGCAAAAATTTTTTTTCAATATGGCCGCCACTTTAAAAATGACGGGACTTTTTCGCAAAAATCATAAACTTTTCATTCTAAACCAAAGTAATTAATATTATTGTTTGAAATTTTGGTAGTATATTCACAACATTTATCTATTTCACATATATTCCGTGTTTTTCATCCTGACCCCCAGGGGCCGTGTATGGTGGGACAGGAAAACAGAAATTTCGCTAATTTTTAGATCTTTCTGAAGTATAGCTTTATTATACTCAAATGAAAGGCAATTAAGAGTAGATTGCAAATATTGTATCTTTTTTCTGATTCGAGCCTCGTAAAATTCAAAATGGCCGTCTAATGTACGATTTCGCAATAATTTTTCGATCCCTTCAAAGTATGGCTTTATTATACTCAAATTGAAGGAATTTTGGAGTAGATCACAATTATGGTATTATTTTTCAGATTTGTATCTCAGAAAATTCAAAATGGCTGCTTTGCAGGAATTCGCAATTCTAAATTCTAATTTTTTCAATTTAAACCAAAGTAATGAGTATAATTGATTGGAATTCGGTAATTGATATTTTGTTCGTTGGGATTTGCTACTCCGCGGAGTTGCCGTTATCTAGTTTTTAAAAAAAACTGTCCTGGTGTATACTATACTAGTATCCTCTTAATTTTGTTGGAATGTTTAAAATTCTGTCTGTTGGATATACATGTAGACTCTAGTGTATACTATAACCTACATGTATGTAAAGACCCCATAAGAAATGACATATGACTAGAAACTCCATAGACCTACACTTAGTAGATCGAGTCTAGATTGCAATATTAGATCAGAGACACATATAGATGGCTCTGAATAGATATGATCTGAAAATAATACTAAGAGTTAGCCAAACCTTTCGTTAGATTTTTCTAATCATGTCTCATGTATGGCAGTCTTCCTGGGATTGATTGGCCTGTTTGCTGTCATGAGTTGTGGATCATTCATTCAATAGTTCATTCAAACTCGTTGGAAATCGAACAATCTTGACTGTCACTTTGAGCCTCAGATTCTGAGTCTCAGTTTCAGAGTTTGACTGTCATTTGTGAGTTGAATTTTTGAATTTTACAAACCTAGATACTGTAGTGAAAGATCTTTAAACCTGGTCCTTACTACACGTTTAAAATATGTCTGCAACTACTAACATTTCGTTAATTTATTACTTTAACCACAAGGTCTGATAAAACACACCGTAAATGTCGAATATCTTTCTGAAAAAATATTTTGAAATATTTGCAACCAATGTAAACATCCGGGTCTTTCAAAACTTACTTGGCAATGTATGAGTTGGTATAAGGCTGGTATGATATGTTTTAGTTTGCAAGAGTGAAACGTTAAGATAGAAATACATTGACACATTAAGGGTTCTATATTGCTGTTCCTATCATGCTAACGAGTAGTATTCATAGGAAATTATTCACGAATTATGCACTACCATTTTGTACGAAAAATATGGGTCAAACTTTCCCAAGGTGCATTTCGGCCAAGTCAAAACATTAGAAGTCGAGTTGAAAGCTTTATCTACATCGATCATCAAAATGAGACCTCCGTAGATCATTAAACCATCTAAAATTTGGTAATGATGTAGATACAACGCTTCTTTATGACTTGGATGCTCCAAAATATAGAAGTAAGGCTATGATTTTATGTATATCAAAAGTTGAAATTGGTACAGAAATACACATTGAAATGCTGCAGGAAGTTCTAAAAATAAATCTGATGTGAGTGGGTAATTGAAACTAGATAATTCCAGCTCAGTAAAATGGGAAGTCATAGGAAAAACTACTTAGAAAATAATTGAAACTCAGCAAATCAAAAGGTAACATGCTTAAAAAAGTACGGTCAAGCACAACGTCTATTATTCCGACAAGCAAATCTACACCAGCCTTAGATAATCTAAATAAATCAAAGCTCAATGGAGAGAATGAGCTTTCAGTGGATATATCATCAAATATGGGAAAAGGACAAAACTATGAAATTGAACGGGGTTCACAGGATGATAACATGAACTGTTTACCACCCAGTCCATCTTCATTGAGTAGAAGAAGGATATCGTCATGCCAGGCTCTCAAGAGTGCTGTTGCCACATTGTATCGCATGGATGATTTTACGACTGAAGAACTTGGTTCAGGATTTTTTTCGGAAGTGTTTAAGGTAAGTCATTTACCATTAGGACTTGTGTGTTTGTGCAACATGAATTTGTAACTTAGATTTTGTAGCATTTCAGTCATATGCTGATATCTCATTTGACAATTATCTATAAAATTTCTTTCTTTACAACCTGAAATACTAGAATCTTCATTTCATAAAGTTACATTTTTAGTTGTTTTTGAGCCCCCTACCTTATTTTTTCTATGACGATAAGGCACTTTATTATCATGATAATAAAGACACTTGCTCAAGACAAAAATGACTGTTATTTGAATTCATATGATGCAAGCATGATTTTAAAGAGTATTTTCCGATGAGAATATCTGAAAATTAATATCCTGAACCTTTCGATAAGTAGTGATGAAATCACTCAAGATAAGATAACAATGTTTTAATTAGATATCATTGGAGATTCTAAGACTTTCTTTATAAGTCTGAGTCATATAAGCTTCAAGAGTGATAAATTGATAAAGTTGGTCAGAACTGCCCAACCCATAAAATATCTCAAGGGCCCTCAAAATTTAAGCCTAAATGAGATTGGAGAACTTGCTCATAGTTCTAGCATAGATTTAGTTTCTTTATTCTTCTATCTACAGTCTATGTATGTTGAACACAAGGTCTAATTAGAGAATTATTCCATTGAATGACTGTTAAATCTTGGATAATCGAAGTTCCCAAACTTATTTGCTGTCATGTTAATTAGCTTCAATGTAGTTAGGAGATATGTATGGAAGATAATACAGGGATTCCACAGTTCATATTACATTAATTTCCTAAAATTAGATTTGCACCTACATTTGTCAGGAATTGCAGTTTATAATGCAATCATATCACCAGCAGCAGATTGCTGGTGATAATTACACTGAATGTAGACGAATATGATTGTGAAAATTAGCTGTGTAACTGTATATTACTAAATGTATGGTCAGATTTTATGATACAATTCTTGAACAGATCAGAATCATATTTTTTATAGTTTCAAATATACATTTAGTATAAATATAGATTGTGTCATATGAATCTTATAAACCCCCCTCTCCCAATGATCTAAACAAATTCATATATTAAAATACAGTTTTGAATCCATAAAATCCAGTTGAAAATTGGTAGGAAAATCACCACAATGCTTATGGTTGACACCGCAATTATTTTTAATGACATTATATATAATGAGAATTTTCAGTTTTGTACTCAGGGAAAATCTCTGAAAACCCCCCAAAAATTTAGTGCAAATTCTGACTAACTTGTACCTACATAACTTCCGAGATAATTAGTCAACAACAAAGCTTACAAAATATCGGAAATATCTGGAAATTCAAGTCCATTTATCAAACAGTGTTTTCTCTGACATACCAGGCTAACTATCTAAGATGGTCTGACTTTAGATTATGCTTTTGAGGTTGATAAATATTTGTTTGTGGTTGATTGATAGTTGTTTGTTGTAGATTGGAGGCGAGGCACACACTTGTGGTAAGGTACCAAACACGTCATTCTGGGTTAAGTTTCATTAAAAATTTCCCTCTTTAGTCAATGTGGTTACTAGGAAAAGGGTATTTTTGAACTAGACAGGAATCACATTTTTGAGGGTAAAGGTCTCGGATCATCTTCTCTGCATATTTTTTTTATTTATATGTAGGAATCTCCTTACATGGTCTTGATAACTGAGAATGCAGTCAAGTTTTGTTGGTAGAAGTAGGTTCATTAATGTACATAGCGAAAATGCTTGTGACAATAATGAAAGAGATAGGGACCACGATGTTGAACCTTTTATAATTCATTAACTTTTCAGCTACCATTACAACATGTATAATATGTTATGTCTATGATATGTCCTCCTGGCTCACTTCCCCACAGCTGACCACATGTTACCTCTTAGAACATGTTCTTTACCTGCGGACCTTACAAAACAAGTGCTATTCTTCATAAAACAATTGCAGTCTTCACTATGTATTTTATTTATTTTCTTTCTCAATATGTTCAAATAAAAATCATTAAGTTACTTTCTGGATTCAATCTCGTGAGATTTTTCTTGCTTTTCTAGGGATATTCTTTATCTTTATTGGGATTCAGATGTCTTGAGAAATAATGATCAATACTAATTAGTGTGAAGTCTAGACCTTGGAATCTACTATACTCATACACATAGTAGACCTTTCTAACTAGATTCATTGAGTTGATATGAAATATTATAAATGAAGGAGCTTCATATATAATATGAAAAATACATGTTAAATTCACATGTGGGGATCATAATACAAGCTCTGTTTTTGTAATGTTTTGTAAAATTGATTAAAGTTCTATTAAACATTGTGATACATCTGTAATTTCTTAAAGAATACAGCATTAGGATGTTGCTGTATCAGCTTAGTTCACTAATCTCCATGTAGGGGGCCTGTAAAACGAATTATAGGAAATCTATATGATGGAACTTCGAATAAACCTACAAGTAGAACCAATCGCATAGACTGACTTACATGTGAAAGGACCCTCTTTGCAAGTAACACCTTTCCACAATGAACAATTTTTGGCAGTACAGATTGTGCTCCATATCAGTTAATATAGTAATATGGTTTAAGTAAGAGTTAGAACTGACCCATTCTATAACACACATTCCTCTCCTTCCCTTGATTACAGTCACTTAGTGCACCCCATCCTATAATCAATATACCTGGAGTCGGATAAAGTAGGTGATTATTTTGAGTCTGAGTCCTTCATTGCATCTAATGTCCTATTCCCTTCATCATGTTATATATAAGTATGGCAAGGGCACAATAACTATAGACGAAGACTGTTATCGAGCAAAATTAATTGTTACTCTTTTGTCGTTATTTTGGTAAAAAACTCTAGGTATATAATGCTGATGTATTAGTAAAATTACAACTTCTATTATTGGAAATGGGCATTCTAAATATCATTCATTGATTCGAAAGAAAGTACATTACTTGCATATAGTCATATACTATGAAGGTTTCATATGAGCAGTGGTATCTAAATCTTATTACAATATGTTTGCAGATATTTACATAGTTTTGCATGTTAAATGACCACGTTTTTCACACATTCAGCATAACATGAATTTCTATAGCAGCTATCCTATTCATATGAGGTGTGGTAGTGATTTGTTGAAACATTAATTAAAATGTTGCTCAAATGAGTACATCATGCTTGATGACCATGGGAAAGTGACAATTTTATCGGAAATAAAAACTAATATGGTAATGTCATTGTTTTTATGGATGTCTCATGTGTCATATATGTGTTTCAATTAAGCCTTTAAATCATCTCTATCCAATTTCTTTGTATTATTATAGTGAATCATTGCAAATGCACTGATAGGCACTCTCAGTTCAGTCAACTGTAAAAGAATGCAGAATAAATGGCGTATAATCATTAGGTATGGTACATATAGTGCCTGGCATAAACTAGTTTTTTTTACATGCCACTTGCCTATAAATTGTAATAAAACTGATATATTTTTGTAATTGTACAGTTTATCAACCATTTAATATTGGATTAATGGCTAATCTACTTTTTAATATATCTCCAGGCTATTCATCAACATTATAATCTCAAAGTGTGACGTTCAGTTTAAAGTTTAATGGACATCATTCAGGTTTATATCTGCATGATCTTTTTTTCTAAGAGAGCTCAATATATTATTATGAAGGACTGTTGTTTTTAGTATTCAGGTATTATTGCACTACGAGGCCTGTTGTTAGGAAAAAAAGATAGATGCGTGAGGGTTATAAGGGGATGCTAATGCAATTTAATGCCTCAAGCTCAAAATAGAAGGAAATCATATGTTTTATCTGTGTTTTAAAAGCTATTATGCTATTTTAATCAATTCGCTCTGTTGCAATTGGAAATAGCAAAACGCACCCAGAATACCCTCTGTGGTTGTTATTCCTAAGAATCATTTTCTGTGGGTAGCTTATGTATAATATATAAAACTAAAACAAATGCATCATTCAAGTTATTAGGTGCAATAATCTATATTTACCAGCTGACTTATTAGGTGCGGGTTATCCATAATAGAAGTGAATTGGAGCATACTACCAGTATAGATTTGTTTTTCAAAAGTATTAGGAAGTTAATTTTATGGCTGAATGTTTTCAGTAGCTTTGGTGTATATATAGAGATTATCCTATATGAGGTTCAGGATATTGGGATTATCCTGAGGCCAATATAATATATCTGCCCGATCACATTGTTCAATTGTTGCAACCAATCGTCACTGGCATGTAGCGATTATAGCGGTCCTGTCTTGGCTTATTGAATTGTTACGAAGTTACGTATGCGGTGCGGAAGTTAGAGAGCAAATGACTATCATTTCAATGTAATAGTTTATGCAGGAAAATTGAGATTAGGCCATTGGAGTATTTGTTTCATGCATTTGTAAAACATTACCCACTCATAGGTCATACTTATCGTTAAACCAATAACTCAAATATATGCCCTTGTACACCGATCACCTGTTGAAATTAATACAGGCCGATTTCAACAAATGTAAAGGGCGATATATTTAAAATCGTATTCAAGCATGACCACGTCCCAACTTCTTTTGTTTTCTTTACAACTAAGCTATGACTGCAGTCTATTCAGTGTTGCGTATCGAACCTTGTTTATTATAAAAATAGTGCAACAACAAGCAGAATTCACACATTTACCTTATACTTATTCTCAACTGAAGACATTGAATTTATCTCTTAGGTTTTACATTATAAATATCTTAACATGCAGAATACGAAAATAGAGGCTTAGGCCCAACTTTGTATGAATTTTATGAGAATAATCTGATTTTAGAGAAATGAAAAGAAAAATGTCCACACCCTACACAAAATATTTATGGTTCCCCGGGAATACGTATGTGCTGCTTGTATATTAGAATCGTATTCCAGTTACAGAAAGAAGTACATATCATGCTAAACTATATACAACAGTTATGCACTTGGAGGTTTTGGATACAGGGAATATCCCGAGGGATATATAATTCATCTTCCCTT